CGTCAAGCAACGCCTCGTCATTTGCTTATGGTCTAAGCACCAATCGTACTGCGCTTTACTATACCGTAATGGTAAACCCATTGCCTGCCGGTACATCTGGTTGCTCGCATAGGTACCCGGGAGTAGGGACTTCTTCCAGATCTCTCGCGTAGCGACGTATCTTTGGTAAATCGCGTTTGGGTCACTGTATTTTAAAGGCTGCTCCGGAGCTTGCTGGTGTTCTTCGGCGTACTCTGAGACGGGTTCTTTAGCTCGTCGTAAGGGCTGGTCGTTTTCTGAGAGCCGAGCTTCGATCTCTTCTAAGATCTGTTCCGTAATCCCTTCTTGGGCCGACGAGTTATTAAGAAGTTCGGGAATTGGCGACTCATGTTGAGGTCTGCACGTCGATAATTCAATCGTAGCTTCAGGTATCGACGTGTCGGCCGGCGGCTCTGGTGTTATTCGTAGCTGTTGCGATGCCGCCTCTACTCGAAGTTGTAGCTCTGCGTACTTTAGGGGGCATAATCGAGACGTCCTTGAATGACCTAGACGGTGACATCTAGTACAGGTTGAAGGTCCCTTTCGCTTAGCCGCGACTTCAACAGCTTCAAAGCCGCTAGGCTCCCTTCGGTTACTTGATCGCGGTAAAGAAGTGTTGGTACTAGTCATATCAATACGTTGGCGAGGCTCTTGGAGAAAAGGTTTCGCGCCGCTCCGGATTAGGTGCCAATGCGAATGGAAGTCTCCTAGGTAAAGGGCTTTTCCTTCGGACAACAAAGCCTCAAGTTTGTGAACGCATGGTAGGCCTTGCGACCGAGAGAATATGCCTGTACAGCGTTGTAGCGGACTGCTCGTCTGGAGAAGCTTCCGCTGCTCTTCAACCTTTCGAAGAGCCTCCTGTGATACCCAACCCCGTACTACACCATAAAGTGGACCGGAAAGTTCGATCGGAGACCGAATCTGCTGTTTTGCCTGGTTGGACCTCAGCTCCCCAAGTTGGTTTATTAGCGCATGCTTAATAGCCCTCCAAGCCTCAAACAAATCGAGTGTCGACGTTTTCAGATGACTTTTAAGAAGCGCATGGACACCTTCGACGCGCGAAGTAACAACATTACCGAAATGAGGGTAGCTGTCAACCCAGGCCTTTACAAGCTTTTCCTTATACAGGTCAAGCCATGTCTCTTTAATGTAGGCCACGTCCCGTACATGCGTTGTAATACAGCGTTGTTCAAATGTCGACATACGGATGTCGAATATTGCCTCGGTGGGAGAACGAATAATTTGGTGCCAGTGCTGGTAAAAGTCATGCCACTCTTTCAGTCTCGCAGATTTGTCGGCTTCGGAGTCCTGGAGTTGTAGCCGGATAGCGAATGAAGGCTGACAGTATCGAAGGACGGATTTGTTCGCATGCCAAAGGCATAGCAATGAAGCAGCAGAAGGAAAGCTTACTGCGATTGCGTTGATACAAGCAAGACATCGATCGGTAAGAATAACTGAAGGTAGGCGGGATTTGCTAATTTCGTAGAGTGACCGGAGGCGCTCTAGAGCCCAAACGAAATCTTCCTCGCTTTCTCCACTAAGAAATGCGAATGCGATACAGAAGGATCGTTGAGAAGCGTCTACTCCGATTATATCTAGGAGCGGCATTCCGTATTTGTTCGTTTTGTAGGTACAGTCGAGGATTAAAACATCCGGATAAGCTTGAAGATAGCTTAGCGACTCTGGATGGGCGAAAAGCACAGCCTTTACGCGGTTCTCCGAATCAAGTTGTAAACGGCTCCAGAAACCTTCATGGTCAAGCCGGTTAGCTAGGGCATTGATCGTGCTCAGCCCTTCGTACATCTCGCGCCTACTGTCCGCGATTCGGTTGTAGATATCTTGCTGCGTTGCAATCGAACTCGTGTTTTGGTGTATGTACGTTCGAATCTCCTTAGGTGCGACGCCAGCATTTGCGAGGCTAGATAGACGAGTGATCGTTTCCGTATCGAGTGCGCGTGCTTAGGATGGGCGGATGGGTGTAAACTTGGCTCGTGGTTGTGTTGGGCAAACTGCGGGTCGGGTCGGTGTCGTATTGTCCATGTGCCGCTGTCTCGTGACTCTTTTGCTAGTACAGAGAACGGACAGTGGTACTTCGCGTAGATGTTTTTCGCTGGCGCGGTCTTCCAGAGGCGTAGTCGCGACATGATCGATCACATGCATATACGACTGAGAGCCTGCCTGTCTTTTCCTTTGTTGACCGTTTCGTAACAAAGGCGTAGCCTCTTGTGTACGCCCACTCGTTGATCGCTTTAAATAAGGTATCCCGGGACTCGTAGGTGCCTTCCGGAGGGAGACTGTCATCGGGAAATGAATGGTGGGTACTACTAGTAGCTGCCATCGGGAGACAAATCTGAGGCTAGTAATGGTAATAAAAGAAATACACGAAAGCACCTCAGCGCGCTTTGTAGCGCGTAAAGTATTGTATGCTGACAGCACCTGAGATCACCAGCGAAGGTCAAGACAGACCTTTTCTGCTGATATGGGTGCACCCCGGATATGGATCCAGGATTGCGATGTCGGCGGGAATTAAGACACGCTAAGCTGTAAGCAGAATCTGCACGGGTACCCGTGTAATATTATACACACGGGTACCCGTGCGCCTATTGGGAGCCGTCGTTGTTTTACCCCACGTGCATGACCTGTCCGAGAGTCACGAAGGGAATACGCGACCAAGACTACACAAGCCGTCTAACAGGAACGCGACAGCGCTGGAAGTCTTAATCAATCCCGTGATCACACCCAACCCATAGAGTGGAACGAGTCGGTCCCTGATCGATCAACCTCACGGCAGGTCTATGACCTCAGCACGCACGTAACAGCAGAAGCTAGTAATGAAGGACGCGGTTCTCCTGCATTCATTGATGGTGATGTCCTCGTGGGGGTAGGAGCATCAAGTATGGTCGCGGTACCCCAGGCCGCGGAATCCATCATTGGTACTTTTTTCAAATACAGGGTGCCAGACAGCGAGTGGTTACCCTTTTATATCGCAAAACCTGATCTCCACCCATGCTAAGCTCTAAGTCGAGCAATGCCGCAGGTGTGTCCCATGTCGGAGATCAGGATGTAGATGTCCCGATGTTACTTAAGCTGGGCAGGCCCGTTTCTGACGGCTTAATAGCGACTTGACGGCCGCATATTCAACCGTCAAGGCGTGGGACTGGCGTCAACCATCTTTATAGACAGCGGCAGCCCCTAGGATTGCTTGGCTTCGCGGCTCAAGATATGAAGGACGTGGAGGTAGGGCTCACTCGTAGGACTCGCAAGCCTTAATTATCAAACGTTTGCTAAAACGCCTCAAGATATCGATCGATGGGAGCAGCTGATTTGCATACTGAACAGGAGGTTTTGGAGAGAATGGAACATTGCATCGATGGTCCGCTAGCCCCAAGGAGATGTCACTCTTGATTCTCCTCAATAGCACCGGTCGCTTCTCTTGGAAGTGGACCAGGCCGAGGGCCGAGATAGAGGAGCCCGATTATGGTGATAGCCACAAGACATAGAAGCCATTTGATGCTGACAGGCGTATGGCTCTCTTTGATGTTGCGGAGAAGGGCAGCAGAATCGCCAGCTTCCAGAATGGCACCCATAATTTCAAGAAATTGGGAGAAGGAAGAGGCAATAAAGGTAGACGGCAGATTCAATGGTACACATTTATTGCAGTGAGCTCTGCACGAAGCGAGCTTTACGTCACGACATACACTGTCATATGACTCGAAGCGGCATTAGTCAATAGAGTTGGCTAAGAACACTTCGTCCGAAGAGGCTGAGCTGCAGAAATATTGCTTCAGGCCTAAGACCGTCACCTCGTGTGCAATGCGATTCTATCTATACGGTACTACAGTACCTTTCGCTCTGTCAAAATTAATCTCACACGGAATGACATAGTCGGAGTGACCTGGCGTGTTTGGAGTCTACTTTGGGTGCTCTCGTGTCCCACCCTGCATCTTCGCCATTAACATCACTCCCGCCGCACAGTTGAATTGCATGAACGGGGTAGACGCCATAGCGATGGCATAAGTATAATAAGTAAGCCACTACGCTGGAATAACCGTCGTGCCTACGGATGACCTCGGTAGAGGAGGTAGAGCTTTGTTACGTGGTAGGGAGTTGAAATGCCAGTATGCTGCAGGATCCGCCATTCCCCTAAGGCTGCGAATTTGGAGGCGAACGATTTTATTGTTACGATAGTCTGAAATTGAATTCGCTGACATACGTTTACATTCTTCGAGATAAGTTTCAGGCGTTTTAAAGCATGGTTACGATGCCGGAGGACTCAGAAATGATACTTTGACAAGTCTTGCCACACAGTCAGTCATTGCATTGAAAAGGTGCCCTTTCTGGACTATCTTGACTTATATACACTGGATAGGCACTCGTGGCCGCCCGCGAATGGCCACCGAGCTGTTTTACTTAAAAGCGGGCATAAACGATGGCAACATGCGCGATAAGACTTCTCCTAACACTTTCTTGATCGTGCTTTCAACATTGCGATACGGCAATACGTCCCTTGCATCGACGGGGCCATGCTATGTCGATGCGCAGAAACAGCCAATAGTAACAGCCTCGCGCTTGTCCTTCTCAAGGCCAAGTCATTTGCTTCTCTAATTCTGAATGGGTACGTGCAAGACGAAAAGAGGTACACGCACGAAGAGAAAAGGCTTTCTTGTGTATCGTCTTGTGAACTTGATGAGAATCGCATTCTAGCGAGTGAGTCGTCTGAGCGGCATGGCGAAGAACAGCGCACGCGTTCAAAGACTTCTATTCCCTGATTCTCTAGTGTGCCCCGCCGCATTGTCTCACTCTCGTCCTATAGGCGACTTTCCAAATTTCGCCCTGACCATATAGCGCAGAGTTAAACATCTTTCGTCCTTCACCGCGTACTCGTTGTAGCGAAGACGTGGTGGTTGCCGCTGGTTCCCGTAGTACTTGGCAACGATTGGCTATAATACAGTGATAGTTTAGTCGATCTCACGTTGGCAACTTCATAGCGAAGTGTTACGACCCACCATCTCGACTTCCCCGGCCGACGTTGCCGGCGCAGCTGCAATACGCCATCTGATCGGTTTCCAACCTGCTGGCTGGTTAAGCCCAACTCCTTGCACGCATCTCTTCTCTTTCTCCGAGTCTTGGATCATTATATCGCCACCTCGACACCGCTGTTCATGCATCACTCTGCCTCGCCCCACATCAGCCTCGCACAGAAAGAGGACCGCCTCTTCGCCGTTTTGGCTCCCGCAATAGTTGGCCGACTTGCTGGACGCATCAGCTAGGTATATTGCTTTCCCAAACATGGCCCGCCTGGCCGTGCAGTTTGGAGGACGAGTGCGAAGACCTGTCTCAAGGATACTGATGACATTGTGTATGGGAGTACCGTGCCAAAGCAGCAATCGTTTCGTGTCGATCCGATGGCGTGCCGCTCTTCCTGCTGTCGATTCATCGACCCTATAAGCTTGAAGTCGTGCTAACTCGCGGGCATGTATCCAATCTTGATAGTCGTTTGGCGAGTTTGGTTCTATGGATAGCGCATAGATCCCCTGGACCTCGACTCGAATTTTATGAGCCGGTTGGTTGGAGCCGTGCAGGTATCGGAAGATGTCGCGCCACTCTGCCGAGGTTGGATCCGTCAACCGCCGCAACCTGTACTTGAGGCAAGAGTATACATGATGCGTAGGCTGCGCGAGCGACCCGAACATCCGTCTCTGCTCTGCCGCTTCCTGAGCGACAGTGTTCATGAGGCTTTTGATCTCCTGATGCTTGGGGCACAGTGCGTAGAGGAGCTTGAGTTCGATCAATGTCGCGCCGTGGTTGTGAATGACTGGCGCCAATCCTGCTGAACCTGAATGATGGGGAATAACGCAACGGTATCTCGACGTAGCTCGCTGTAAGGTCTTCCATCTCAAGGGCTTCCCGCTGCGTAGGAGGTGGAGAATCCGCTTCAGTAAGCAAAAGCCGTTGTAGATCGTCCAAAGGCTCAGCTGTCGGTAAGCAGCAGTGGCAAGATGAGGCATATGCTGCTCGACTTCTTCAATGTCGCTATGGTCCGCCTTTTTGCCATACAAGACCAATGTCATCAAGTCTTTGACGTCAGGATCAACCTGCGCATCCAACCCAGCGTACTCTGGAAGCTCGAATTGAAGATCCCCTGCCGCCGCGTGTAGTCCAAGTGACGAGATTATACTCTCGTCGTGCCACGACGTCTTCACGAAGAACTATCCCGCCACTCCTGCCCTGTGAGCTGACAAAACATCGCCTCAAAGTTTCTTACAGTTTCCTTCTGATCGCAATATTTTGATAATAGCACATCCCCTGTGTGGCCAACGATACCACTTCTCGTAAGAAAGATATACTGCTCGTTCAGCTCGTTATGAATAATCTATAGCAAACATGTTAGCGACTGACCCCGGTAGAGGCGTCACTGATATCGCACCTGCAGCCTCACGTAACAGCTTTCGTTCTTTTGTTGATTGAGTTTCAAAAGGTAGGCATCGTAGATCGTAAGACTGGCTTGATCTACGAAGACATAGTAGTCTGACCCTGCCGCCGGGTCGGCAATCAAGGTGCTGTCCCGAGCGATGGCCTTTCGACGGCGACGGGAACTACTTGGTAAGTAGTCAAAAGCACAGTGTGAGCTTTTCTGGCTAGTAGGCGTCTTTTGGATGAACCTTTCGAAGTCACGGAAGTCAACGCCGTTATTCTGTTCATACTGCCTGTCGAATAACGTACTCCACAAGGGAGTGGGACAAACAAGGGAGTGGGACACTTCCGTCCTACCTACGCGACAATATATAAGAGAAATCAACCACAACGCCTCAAATTAATTCAAACTATTCAGAATCCTCTTCTTCAGAGGTGGACTCAACTTTCTGACACGTACGCGCATTATGGCCGGGCTCCCTGCAGACGCCACAGCGTCGCGCGCGCGTCTCTGTCCTCCTCGTACGGCCACTATGCTGACTCGTTTCTGCCCTTAACTGCTCCGTCGCGTCAATCTGGGGCTTTAAATCCTTTGCCTGATCAATCGTAAGGGACCCTCCTTTCTGTAATTGCTTTCTCTTGGTACGGCGACGGCGGCTAAGGCGGTCATTTGCATCTCGAAGTTCGGCGAGTTCGTGGCGTACAAGGGTCTGCTCGTGCACCATCATCGCGATTCCTTTATTTAGCTGCCGTAGGCTTGCAATTATTGATGTTGGAGAGCTGCCCTGATGTCGTACGATGCGATTCTTGATGTATTCGGTCTGTGATTCCGCCTCAATTGGGTTGTTCGGCGTCTTCGAGACCCAAGGTGGCGGAAGGCCTGCAGATAACTTGGCGGAGTTGGCGTATGAGGCTTTACATCTAGCTGCGAAATAACATTCCGGGTCGTACGGTATTAGGCCAGTCGCTCTAAAGCCTGCCTGTATATTTGACTTGGTAATTGCAGCGTCGTACGCCTTGTAAAAGGCTAGGAGGAAGTCTTCCTTCGCGATGTGGGTAATATGCGCCCGCATGAGACCTTCGATTTCTTTTCCGTACGCCCTTTTAAGAGGTCCAAAGCACCCGACATCGAGAGGCTGGAGCTTATGTGATGAGTGAGCAGGCATACAGAGCGTCACAATGTTCTGTTCCTTGCAGTAGAGCTCGAAATCGACGGAATGGTGGCTCTCGTGGCCGTCGAGGATGAGGAGGAGGTAGGTCCCTTCGTACGACTCTTCGTATGGAAATCGAAGTGTTTAACCCATTCTAGACCTCTCTCGTTTGTCGTCCAGCCGTTCTCTGAAGCGCGATTACCCAGTCGGCCGGTAGAGGGCTATTCGCGGTCCAGGAGTCGAGGTGGACCTTCCCGCGAAGATGATATATGGTGGGATCGAATAGCCGTACGACGCGATACCCTGGATTACTGTAACCCTTCCTGATTGCCTTGTTATACGGTTCTTGGCCTCCCGCGTCGATCGGAGGTCGTAACGACAGTTTCGGCGGAGATCTTGCCCATTGCGAAGCCCGTTTCGTCGAAGTTGTAGATATCGTCATTATGGATCCCGTATTTCGCGACTATGTTTCGTACGAGCGTAAACCACGCGCGATACGCGTCCGGATCCTCGCAGAGGACTCTCTGGTAAAACGCGTACGGAGCTCTGGTCGTCGTCGTACGAAGTTTGAGGCCCAGTTCGTTCCGACGCGTGGCGCGTCGCGTACGCGGAGGAGTCGATCCGCCATTTCTCGAACACCACTAAGTCGCGGTGGAAACGATCGCGAATCAAGGTCAAGTATGTATCGTACGACGCTGTCCTCTTCGTACGAGGTCAAATTCTGGTTATGTGGCCGGAGATCGCGTTTAGCAGGTCGGCCGGCTCGTCGTCGCTGGAGGGTTGCACGGGATACATTATACAATAATGCAGCTTGTCGTACACTTAATTCTGGGTCCGAATGAAGCGCATTAAGCGCTAGAATCAAATCGCTTTCAATTGATTGCCGTCCCATAATTGTTGGTGGAGAAAAAGGGGAAAGAAGGTGGCCTGTACGGAAATGACGGAAAGTGGCTCACTTGCTTGTGTGGCTCACTTGCTTGTGGATTACGTTATAGGTAGTTGTCATAAGCACAGATATAACTATGCTCTGTTAAGCAGTCTCTAAACTAATAGCACGTACCGCTAGCTAGTTTTGAGCCCCTTTCCTTGCCTCCAGCCCCACCTTTATAATTCCACCTCCTATACACCCTCGCTAATAGTCGAAATTTTATTATAACACCACCGCCTCACCACATAACGGATCCCGGAAACCACACGGCATATATACGCGCCATTAGTCATGGTGTCGTTCACCAAGCGGCAAAGTTCTAACGCTTCAAAAAAGGTTCTCAAGCGGGCTACAACCCGTATGGTCAGACACTGCTCTAAACTCTGCACAAAAGCTCGGGCAGGCAAGAAGAGGCTGATATACATGCGCAGATCGCCCGTAGGCTACAAGTGTTCCTGGCCCTCGCGAACTTCAAGATCAATTGCGCATGGGAAGATCCCGACTTCGACGCTGTCGAGGCTAAAGTCAATGAGAAAAGAAAGCAGATGCGGCAAAGGGAGGACTATGTGATCTGCAACTCAAACGCGAGCAGATTCAATCTCTCATACACATCCGAAGTCGACAATACCGTCTGCCCTAGTAATGGGAAGACCAACCATCTCAAGTCGGGCTACATGGGCATGATGGCGCATATGACTTTCGACCATGCCAACGCGTCTAGAAAACGGCAATATTTCACCAATCCCAACGGTCCCGACGTAACGTTTACCATAGCTCCACGACGCCACTCGGTAGAGCTACAGTCGGCCATCCATAGCGCCCCTTTGGACAACCATAACGAACGGTCCGATCGCCCCGACGCCAGTGTTGATACAAACCGGTTATTCCCTCTTTGGGCATCTTCAATGCTTGACGGGAGTCTCGATAGCGCTGATCTCGTCGTGCCATAGTTGAAGGGAACGCCGCGATTTCGGCCAGTGTCACTATTACTTACCTTGCTTCGTCCATCGCTACCGGTATCATATACGTTCCGGTAGTAATATTCACTAGCACACTGCTTTAAGAGCTTGCCGCAGACACGACAGTGCGGCTACTACTTAGGAACATTGGCCTTCGGCGCGCCTATTATCTGAACCTGACAAGGGCCGGACATTTAAGCCTGTATTATTGTAAATTCCGCGCACCAGCGAGCAATCTCACCCATCACTATACGCAGATCGGAAACGAACTTTCAACCCTCACCCGCCGCTATCCTATGAGAGTAGACTGTTGGGGAAAGCTAGATAAGAAAGAGTGAAACATGGTCTGGCTATGACTTTCTGTGTCGGTAGGCGCATGCAAAATGGTGCAATATTACCGATTTCAAATCCGCACCGTCTATTGCTTTCCCGAGCGCGGGAGCCTGGTACCACTGCTGAAGATATGATCCCTATACGTATCAGCCGAAGAACCAGTACTGGGCTGTGTAAGGGACGCTCTCGGCCTGGCCGGCCCCGGTGCAGGGGCCAGCGACACCACCAGCAGTGTAGACGCGGTAGGCCAGGGTCGTGACATGCGAGGAGCCAGTGTCACCAAGCCTTAGCCAGTCGATCGTGCCGGTGCCGGTGATGCCGTTGTCGGCGTCGGCCGGAGCAGCGATGCCGTCGTTCTTCTTGCCAACAAAGAGGGCGTCGCCCATAGTGAACGTGGGAACAGAGCCGGCAAAGTAGTGATGGCCAGCAAAGCGGAGCGGAACCCGGACACCCTCGAGAGTCAGGTCCGCGGCCGCGGGAAAGGGCGCGCTGGGGTCTGCAGCGTAAGGTCGGCCAGCGTCAGCGGCAAGGTTCAGCGGGATAGCGGTGGTGTGCAAGGCCTTAACAGTCAGGGCCGCCCACGCTTCCGTGGAAAGAGCAAGAGGGCCCGAACCGGGAAAGAGAGGGGCAATATCCCAGAGAACAGCGAGAGCACCAGTGGCGGTAGCCTTCGCGCCAGCAGCGGGGCAGGTGTAATTCTGGATACCGTGACCAATAAGCACTGACTTGAAGCCAAGGGGCTCAGGGCCAGCAAGCTCCTTCGATCCTGATTATCAAGTTAGTATAAAGAGACGAGGCGGGGATAAATCGCGTCTAAACTTACCACCATGAACTGGCAGTGTAGGAGTGACAACGGGTGCTGGAGGAGGGTCACTTGGGTCAAGAGGTCCACCAGCGGTGGGAGGCCCGGGAGGCCCGGGAGGCCCAGGCGGGCCAGTGTGGCAATGCCTCCGGATGGAACCGGCATTGACCGTCAGGGCCGAGACGAGGAGGATGGCTATCTGAAGAAGCATGGTCACGCGCTTTTGTTATCCTCGTAGAGCCAGAGGAGGAGATAAGGTTGGCTGGGAGAGGGACCGTTGGGCACTGATTGTATAGGAAGGTAGCAGGAGTTGGAGTCCGGGCCGGGCAGTGCGGGTTAATCAGGCGGGGCGAGGTAGGCCGAAGAATGAGAGGTCGAAAACTAGGGTTATATACAGCTTAGAGGAGCAACAGTTGTTTTGTTTGTTTATTTCTGAACTTGTTTGGTCCAAAAATTTGCGTTCAAGGGGTCCAGCATTGCGAGCTCGTCGACCGCCGCGAGGGCCGGTGGCGGGCACTGGGTGGGATGCTTTCGGAGTCGGGGGCTTATGAAGAGGAAGCGAGACGGTACAAACAGTGAGCACGGACGACTAGGGGAACGACACACGCGTGTGATGCGTTTAGCGCTTGCGGAGTGGCATTGTTAATGACCGTCATTGTTTGTATTTGGAAGTCTGGACAATGCGCCTCATGTTTACCGGTTTGGCAGATTGCCCTCTGTCATGCCACCAACGGCCGCACACTGTGAGCAAACGGCATAATAAGATGCCTCAGGCTCGACAGTGCTGATGCGCGCCCGATATAAACATATCTACCGGTCCCTACCAAGAGTGAGCGCTAGACATTATTGGAACGGAATTCTCTTTGCCAATTCTAGACATGGGACTAGCCTTGTGCGTCGGTGGCCCGATGTTCCTCAGATCAGCCCTGGCCTTCCCTTCATCAACTCTTCGTTTACTCGATCCGCTTGCACGAGTACCTCCTTCCACCAGGAAGCTACCAGATGCCGCGTTGGGGCAGAGCCGGATTAGCTGGAAGCGAGCCAACGTCGCAGGGCACGTCGAGTTCCCCAGCCATGTCCGGAAATTGACCACGAAGCGCCATGAGCACAATACCATCGAGTCGCCATCCACCATTGACGAGCTGAATGATATGCACAAGATCGCACTGGATAAGTCAGCACTCCGCGAATTGCACTGTAACATCGCGCCGGAGCCGAATCCAGCGCGATATTTGGGCATCCGCCCGCTGTCCATCGTCGCTCTCTGGTGTGCCTCCTGACACGGGAGAGCTCACTCAATACGTACTGGTGAGAAAGCGTTCGATAACCCCGTCGCGCACAATGCCATGCGCGGAGAGCATGGCAGCGCTCTGCATCCTCTATGGCAGCAGTGATAAAGCAGTGCTGCCCCGACCGCCACCCAATGTGCCGTCTGTAATCCATCAGCGCTCCAACGGTTATTCTCTTTCCTTCGAGGAGGAAGTCAGGCTCGCCCGGAACTTGGCCTTCCTGGCATATACCCGAGATGATCCGAAGTGCATCCCCGCTGTTTGTGTTGAGCAGGATCATCACCGATGCGCGCTTAATGTGCGTGTGGCCACCAATACCGGGACCATCATGCTCGGGGCAGCAGTTGAAGGGCTGCAGGGGATATTTGATATCATGGCGATGCGTGATGGTACGTGCTGTTCTTTGCTGCGCCGCACGGACCTTGCAATTGCTGATCATTAATCTGTACATAAGAGCAAGAATCGTCGTCCACAACGATGAACAAGATCTTTCTCGCAATTGTGGCGATGTGCTCCCTCGGATCCTGACGCGCCTGGGACTGCAGGGGCGAAAGCAGTTCTCATCCAAGCAGAAGCCACCATTCGTCCAAGCCTTGGAAAATGCATCGACTTTGCTGAATCATTCTAATTGCGCTCAAGCTACTCAACTCGGGCATCACTGCAGAGAAGTGCGCAAGTGTATTACGCAGTGGGGACGGTTCAAGTCCCCAAGCACACTTGCTGATATCATTGTCGCCATCCACAAGCTCCAGAGAGAGGTCGATGTCGTGGAACTCCTCAACGGCGTGACGCACCAGGCACTCCCGAAAGACGCCAAAACAAGCATAGTCAACAAGATAGGCAAGCTCTCACGTTACCACGAAATAGCGCGATACCTGTCTCGACGGTGCATCAAAGACGTGGCATTTCGCCACCTCACAGCTGTTCGGGTCGTATTGCCCGAACATATTGTCGCATGCGAACCCCCGACCCCAGACATGTTCGAAGCTGAAGTAAAGTTCACCGACGTCCTCCGCCAGGCCGGCCTTCCAAATGGCGATGAAAAGAAAACAATCAAGAATCTATTCAGCCTTCTTAAAACCACCCCTGAACAAGCCAGCCAGAACTTCCACACACGAGTATCCAAGACGTCAAGGAAAGCCAAGGTCCACGCGGAGGTTCAGCTGTTGTGCTTCTACGAAATGAACCGCAATGTGATCCCGTTGTTGCCACGGGTGGTGTGTTCAAGCAAAGATGCGTGTTGGATGTGTAATGCGCTGATCGACGCCCACGGAGAGATGTTCACGCCTCGCTGTCACGGTGTCCTGTATCCCGGCTGGAAACAACCTTGTCTACCCGGCTCATCGAGATGGGCCGAAGTTGCGACGGCATTGACGTCCAAATTGCAGCGCACAGTTGCAGAGAGTGTGCAAAGCATACTAAGTTCCGGCCAGAGGCCCGGCTATTGCCCCCCAGGTGAGGCACGCTTTCAGTGCTGAGGTGGTCACTGTCAACTGTGCACTTGCCATTGACCGAGCCTGTCGAAGACGAAGTGCCTGAAGCCTCAACGCCCAGCACTGGGAGGTTATTCGCTAGTCCCTCCGAAATCCCCAGCTCGAGCCCGACTGGTAGCGGATCGTGCGCAGAGCAAGTCGACGAGCTGCCGTAACTGAACCTAGAGATAACGTCACGCTTCAGCCCTACCAACAGTACCGTTACCAACCAACTACACGCGACTACAGCGTCTGTGGCTTCAAGCCGGCGGCTTGGCAGTCTTGTTAGAGCCTCCTCATGATGGCAGATTGCAGAATGATTCTGCTGGGGAGAGGCAAAACTCTGACATGGGCAAAGAACCAAGATTAAGTTACACGATAACATATACTGGCAACGACAATACAGCCTTCGTAGAGGATGTCACGAAGCCTTTGAGCGGGCCAGCCCTTATGATCTTGGATCAGAGATTGGCGCAGGGCACCAATCTCGATATGGAGGAGGACGAGTCTGGAATCATTCGACTGGGTCTCAGTAGTGGCGAAACTGTACAGATCCAAAGACATTCCGGACCTTGATCACGGCACGCACGCCCTGGCCTCAGCACCATCCATGCACCTCGAGCCAGCTAACTTATGACACGTGAAGCGTGGAGGACCAATGAGAGGAGGAGCTTGTAGATGAGCAAGTGAGTCGTGCACTGGCGCCTACGTCGGGCGCCATGCAACACCGCGCCTTCGGCGCCAACCCCTGTGCTCAATCGCCCAATCACCGCCCTAGGATTATGGTCCGTGGGCTCAAATTCGCTAGAATGAGACGGACCTGCTACGTGCACAGACCTTTCGTAGGACATGACATGTTCAGGGCGAGAATGAGCAAGACTTCACGGTGTGCACGGATGCCGTTGGAAATGTGGGGCGTGTGGGCTTCTTGGTTTTCACTTAAAACCGCCCTGGAATAATACAGTAGTGAAGGAAAGGACTGATGTTTGTCCTCAGGAACTGTAGTGATTCTTACAGATTTAATAGAGAATCGGGCATGTCTTCGCGCTGCTAAAGTACTGGGTCCTGTTTGAGAAACTCGCCGCCAGTACAAGACCTTGTAGCTCATGCGCTGAGGAAGAAACTGGCACTTCTGCATAAAGAACCACTTCAAATATATGCAGGCGCGGACGATAGAGCCCATCCACAGTCAGATAGGGGATCTCTCAGGAAACCGCTGCCATGCCGCGAACCTATGGAGGAGAGGACTGTCATCAGCGCGCACCTCCAAGCGTTCTTCCAATAGCTCGCCGTCTCCGAGTTGCCAACACAGGTGCAGCTCTGAGCTACGGACTGAGCATCCCCATCGAGCAAGGCGCATTTGACGAAAACAGTGCTGCCGCATCGCAAGTGCACCTCGCTGGCGCGTGACCTAGGGAGGTGGTATGTTATTGTATTGGAATGATGGCGCCCCTGCACGCCGCCACGGCGCAGTTTGAAAGCTTCCAGCCCCACAAAGGAAATCAGATTCGCCGCCGAGGAGGACCGCCTCCTTCCTGATGGCCAGATAAGGGATCATAAGGATCGGCCCATCGATCGAGCGATCGAAACGCCTATGAGCTAGCGCACGCGGCGTGGCGACCCACGGCATCGCCCGCCGCTCCAGCCGACATGAAGGGGGCCTAGACAAGGTCCACCATTGCCCCTCCTCCAGGTCCACGCAGAGAAGGACATCCAGACGTGGTGGCCAGGTGGACACGCACCTTCCGCAAGTCGCGGAGTGGCCCAAGGTAACAAGCCGGGACCTCTAGGGGGCCCGATCCTCTTTGCCCTCCAAGTGCTTCTGCGTCTCAACAATGTGCGACAACGAAGAAGATATCGCAACAAGGTCGCGCAACTTCTCGCCACGAATGCAATGATCCCAGCGACTACAACCAGGCGCCATTTGGGAAGAATTGCGATCCTGGGGGCGATGACAACTGATACAAAGCATGGCAAGTCTCAACGATTGGGCGGCAGAGTGGGCACACGACCAATGACCAGGAATAAGGCCCTACCCATCGACAACGTGGGGTTCAACAGAACCTGTGGCGGACATCGGAGCGCCCGAGGAAGGGAAAAGACCACCGAGTTGGTCGAGTGGATTGGGGACCTCTAGATGACACTGATGACAGCACCTGCAGAGAAGGGCTATAATCAAAGGCCTGAGCCAACAGGGCTTGATTTGGGCAGGGCTCCCGCACAAGCAAAGACCAGCAAATCCCCGGAGCGCGTCCAGCATCCATGCCAAGATGTGCCTGTGATTTGTCACTGCAATTCAACGACAGAAGGTTCACTTCGTGTAGTTTGTGTAGTTTGTGTAGTTTGTGTAGTTTGTGTAGTTTGTGTAGTTTGTGTAGTTTGTGTAGTTTGTGTAGTTTGTGTGGTTTGTGTGGTTTGTGTGGTTTGTGTGGTTGGTCTCAAGTGCACATTGACATGATCCCTACCGGCCCACCTCTCCACAGCCCAGGAATAGAGCCCTAATGCAAGCTTGGCCACGCAGATGTCATATTGTTATTCATCCTGAGAACGTCCGCGAAATCATTTGCGAATCGAGACTTTGAGAACTCAACTTTTTCCTTCTATGTCAAGACGCAGACAGTCCGTCTTCCTGATCACGGCCGTTAATCTATCTCTAAAGGATGCACGAAGCAGATTGTCGTAAACAAAAGATAGGCGCTCCGGCCGAAAGATTTTAGTTCATGCCCGAAAGGCATCAGAGGGGATGAACAATCAAGGCGGTATCGACCCTCCGCTCAGTCGTCGACACCCAGTTAGCAACATTTCCCCGCCTCTCTTAGGTCAATCTGGAGACTTCATCTTTATGAACGAGCTCAAGACCGAATCAGTACATGCCAACGCATCCGCTGGTATACCGTATGTCCATCCGCGCTGTGTCACATTCACGAACTCCGCTCAGAGGCAAACCTATCTTCAACGGACAAGCTCGCAATGGCATCACGATATCGCCCTCCGAGACACGTTCGACGAGTTCTGGATTGCGCCTAAGAAGGGCAAGAGCAGCTGGATCGCTCTGTGCACTCTTCCAGAGCGAGGAATTCGCAGTATCCCTGACTTGGATAACGAGAAATGGCATGGGTTTGCCCTGTTGATAACCAAAAGCCCAGGCCAAAATGGGAAACATGTTGTTATCTGGGACTGTACCAGGCACTCAAGACTAGATAACTCTCGCTCGTTGTCACGATCAGCTGCTATCAACAGACTTACCTCGCTTCCGCGAGGTTTCCTTCTATTTATGCAAAAGAAGAGCCGAGGTTTCAGGCTGTGGCACCATACAGACATGACTTGGAGACAATCGACAGTCCTGGCGATATACTGATACGAAAGATAGAAGACTGGTGTTCATATGGGGATGCACCTTATATGGGAGAAGCAGATGCTCGATTTAAGGATTGTGTCGAGTTGGGTGCGTGATAATGGTAGTCTTGCCGGATCATTGGCCATACGCAGAAAGGCGAACGTGGCAGCCAACACAATATTACCAAAGATATTGCGATCAATGACGTCAGTCACTCTGAAGAAACTCTCCTGCTTTAAAACCAAGTCATCTCGAATTCAAAGTGTAGATGGTTTATGGTGAAGCATATCACGTGCCAGCAAGAGCAAGCCATTGCTTCTGCTGGAGAGAGAGAATATTCGCGCAGCAATCGCTTGTGCTCGAGACCTCATGGATCGCAATCCAGCAAGGTCATGCGAGCTGAAGCTGTCCGCCAGCGTCGACGTCGAAAAGACGTCCTCGATCTCTGAAGTGGCGGTTGGCCAAAGCGGCAGAGTTTGAGACGGCAGTGCTGCTATTGCGAACAATGGAATTGACTTGTAGTGTTGTTCTATCTATCTCTTGGAAGCACCCTGCAGTGAATCTTTTTGGTGGCTGCACTAGTGCAGCTTGCTTAAGTATGATTGCGAAATTGGTCTTGTCTTGCCAGCGCCAGGCTTTGTCCATATTAACAAGACCGGGCGTCCTAGTGAAGTCAGCACCGCATGTATCTGGCTTTTTTCAATCCAGAGCGGCATTGCAAATAATCTCTGGTAGCTTCAGGGTTCAACTACGTTGCAGCGACACCTTTTGGTGCTATCACAGTTGTGCTTGGCGACAAAGGGTTCGTTGCGATGTCACACACATCCTAAAAAGGCCTCATCGCAGTGAATATTGTTTGCGAGGTCCCATGAGGCCCGCATGATGTCAGCGTTCGTGAGCGATGCACTTCGAGATCCGGCGAAGGATGGAGAGACTGGAACCTTGGCAGACCTGTATTGATTGTGGACCACTAGGCCATCAGCCACCGCTTTCCTCGTCAATGGCGGTGATAAGGATGTCGTCAAACGTACGTATGCCCTTGTCTGAGGTGCATGAACCACAATTACCACTCGTAAAGTCTTTGTTCATATATCTTTGACACATCCAGCATTAAAACACAACTGCCAAGACATGAGTGAGGACAGTCATACATAATCACATCCATCAAGACTATATTAAACTGTGGACAATAAAACCACGGCCCGTTTTGTGAGCTTTGCGAATTGTACATGAGCTGCGCTAGGGACTACGCATAATTTTCACAAATCTGAACCTTGTATGAAGCTGCACTCGGAAACGCAGCCGGCGAAGGAATTAAATGAAGTTCCGCGGCTAATGTGAGATAAGACAAGGGCTTCCTCTCACTGTCCCTGGTCATTTTAGCATAGTATCCTTCTGCCGGCGGGTAATGCAGGCACCATCTTTTTCCAGTAACTTCGCAGAAATGCATTTCCACCGGCACTCCTCCTGGCGCCTTCTCTTCCAACCACGCTAACCTTCGCGAATTTCCCAAGTGTTGTGCGCCATTATCCAGAATTTTCTATGGATACTGTTCCGAGCTCAGTCGAAGTTGCTCGTGGGTTCGTGCGGAAAAGACGTACGTCATCGCCTACCAATTGGTAGGCTTGGCCTTGACCCGCATAGACACTTGTGCCTTATCGTCGTCCTTATAGTTCTTTTCTCCTCCAATGATAGCCGGGTCCTGCTTAGAGTGTGTAACAACCAGCCCATATGCGCTTGGGTCCCTGGCAGCCCTCGCAGCGACGTAAATCTGAGCTATGCCTATCCCCGAGACAGCTCCGAGATAACAGAGAGCACTGTCCTGAAGCCCAGCGGCACATATCAGCCACAACGTCCATGCCAGTATGCTAAAGATTGCGATGGCGAAGTTCTGCCCCCGTGGTTGTAAGTTGGGAGCGGTTGCTGCAGACTCCGGATCCCAGGCCCCGGCTTTGCATTGCAGCACAAGTACGTGCTCTGCATCGCTTACTCAGTTAGAGACAACACCTTATCGCGGCTCAGCACATGGGCCGCCCACTTTTCGTCCTTCCTCTGTTGCAATGCTCTGGTGCCTAGCGCAAGTGCAGTGCCGTACGCTGTAAGGTACAAGACGGATCTGTCGTGATACGTGATCCACGGAAGCGCAGCGATAACAAACTGAATCGCTATGGTGATCCAGCTTAACCACCAGACGCAGTCGCGGACAATATGAGTGTCCGGTTCGAGTTGGAATCTGTCCGTCCGAGGTGAATACGGCAGAGTTGTTACGTCCCCGGCGTCTGTAGGGTACTTTTTCTCATGGTGACGGGGGAACCTGCCGAGATCTTTGAATTTGAATTGGAACTCGAATTCTGGCATCAGTCGCGGGAACACCAACGAAATGGCTAGACCGATGCTGCCATGATATAACCAGCCAAAGGAGAAGGCCACCGGCGCCTGTGAAAAGCTGCACCCGCGAGCCGATGGCCAAGGACTGCGAGCTGAGCGAGTGCTTGTGGAATGATATATATCCCATCGAAGGAAAGTATAAATGCTACAAATAGCGCAGGACGGACCCAGTCGGGGAGCGGAGCGGCGGAAATGATGGTTGCTGATGCCATGGTAGGTTCTTGGTGTTTTGCAGATGAATAGTGTTGACTTCTGTAAGCAAGATGGGGACGTCGGAAGGGGAATAACAAGGTCTTATTTCACTTCGTCTTGGAGGGTTGCGTGGCAGTGCCACTAGTCGCCCAGGTCGCATAATGTATTGTGTAGTGCCTTGTCTGGTCTCGGTGCAAGAATGCCTTGCGACCGAGATTCCCGACATCTTGACTCGAGCGCGCTGGCTCCATCCCGTTTCTATTCATGTGCGAAAAGCTGTGCTGAGTGGGCATGAAAACATGTGGGCCATAGCATACAGGCGGTGTGTGGGTCGGTGTGTGGGTCGGGATTACGAACAAACACAAACAAACACGAAAAACACGAACAAACCCAGATAGCCCCGCGCTCGTCTCAGGACGTGGGTCCGTGACGAACGAAGCCAGGCATCAGCCGGTTCATGTCCCACGGGGTATTGGGCGGGGCGGTTCTCTGGTTTGTCAGGACTGACGTTGCAGTAGTTGCATAAGATGAATAAGGCCGTGGAGCGAGTCAAATAACCTGGAAGGGTGGGATGGATTCGTCCTTGGAAGTGCCCGACATGTTGAACGTGGGCAGCGGCAGGGCAGCTTTTCTAGCCTGGAGGGCGGAAGGACGGCGGACACTCTCGAGCTGACAGATCATTTGGAAGTCTCCTTTCAGCTGGATAATGCTATGATCCGAGACGGCCTGGGCAAGATGGACTGTACGGCGAGCGCCAAAGCGTCGTCCTAGACTGTAATTTCGCTTCATTTCCGTTCGAACAAGCTGGTTGCGGTATGTTGGCTATTAAGATTAACTTATACTCTGTGCGAAATTTGTAGGGGCTATCACGAAGCACCGTTGGAAAGGACGAAGGTGAATTACAGTAGTATTTCCTGCTTCGCTGCTTGAACACAACCTTCCGGGTCGACCCCATTCATCCGCCCCCGCCCGACTCGCGACGTGCAGTCTCCTCGCCACGTTTGTCCGTCAAACTGGTTAAACAACCTAGGCTTCGGCATGGCATCCACCGGTGCATGAACACTCCTCGCGCCTTAGGCTTTCGTTATTCACCATGCCCCTGCTGTGGTGCCGGTATCTGGAACTTCGCGCTCCTGCTTTCTGCCCACTGACACGGACCGGTTGCCGCTTAGGATATCGCTACTATTTCTCTGTGGACCTCCTCACTGACGGATAAATGACCTACTTTTTGATAGTTTGAAAACATTCTGCCCGCCAGGTCGAGACGGTGCGGAGGGCAGGGGCACTTCAGCGGGCTGCGCACGTGTAGGTAAGAGATAAGGCAGTATTCATCACTATACTAAGGCGTGGCGCGGCGTAAAGCTTCGGCTTTCTCCGGTCAGCACAGTGAGGTCCCCTATTTAGGAGACAGAAAGCGCCGACACGGGTGCCCTAGAAAGTGTAGGGTTGTCGTCAGCCATTTTCTCGCACTTAGGCACAGCCTGGGGTGGGTGCGCATCTGGGCCTCGCTCTCCTCTAAGCCATGTATATCCACGGAGTACTTCCCAGTCGTAAACGTCACGGGGATTGTGGCCGTGCTACAGACGCACTGCGGGCAGACTCTGAGGCCGTCTGTCGGAAGCTGGATCTTGTATGACACGTGAAGCGTGGAGGACCAATGAGAGGAGGAGCTTGTAGATGAGCAAGTAGTCGTGCACTGGCGCCTACGTCAGGCGCCATGCAACACCGCGCCTGGCCGCCCTGCTTCAGCGCAACATCTACACCGTACATGCCGTGGTCGGCCGGTTTATGGACTTTTGTATTGCCATCAACATCGATCGCGACGCCGGCAGCATGTCGTGGTCCTACGAAAGGCTTTCGCGCATAGCAGATCAGTCTCACAGCAGGCCCTTTTCCGTCAAGTTTCGATCCACTCTCAAGTAAATACACCCTACCTATGATCAAGAATGCACAATCCAGTCATGTTTAGTAGGCCGCATAGAGGATCGTGCCAATACATTTCACACGCTCTCTTACCGCGAGCTCACGGACAAGGTTAGTGCGCAGCCAAACAGGACTCTGCTGCTGTACTTCGCAGCCATGCTGGCCATTGGCCCCAATTAGGCGAGATAGAGGGCGTCAGGGGTGGATGATCGATGAGATATGGAGCCATACTAAGGCTTGTCCATGTATATATATAGGCAAGTAGTCCGGGTGCATCACAGCTATATCAGCCGCCATGCAGCACCGCGCGCCTGAGGTGCCAATCTTCAATGTGAGCACTTCTGCCATCCCTAATAGCTTCTGCTGCTACCCCCGATAACAGGCGCTTTACTCACATTATAGCCCGAAGGTACACGACCATATTAAACGGCAGCTTAATTATAGCTCGCTGTTTGGGCCCATCTTCAACTCCACCGGTCCAAAACACTGCGAGTGCTGCGTCTCCAAATCTGTAATTGGTGCCCAGAAGGGTGGTACCCATATGTGCGTGCCTTTTCGCCAAGGGTGTGCCACGGACTTTGTCTTCCTGCCCCGCAGGAGGGATCATCGACAGCTATCTGGCCGTCTTTCTAAGCGAGGGCAAGTGTGTCTGACAGGGCATTCCCTGTTGCCAAGTCTTTAGGTTCTGAACCATGGGCTTCAACCTGGCCACCAGGGTCTTGTATCGTATCGCCGTCGCCAGACAGCGGTAATCTGCCTGGGGCGGGTGGCTATTAACTGTCCTTAATAACAAATGTAGTGTCTGAACGAAGGGGAACACAATATGCTAGGTGTATCTCTGTTTTACTCGTATGACTAGTTAGCTACGACGGCTTTCACCTTACAGGTTATAGGTTATTGTATTCCTGGGACAGATCATTACGCGTCGCAGAACCCGATTCCGCTTTGGGAATGAAGAAACCCGTCGATCTGTCCGAACGCGTTCTTAACGACAGCATCCATGTGTACATCGAATCGGCCTCCTTTGCGGACAACCTCGCCAACCTGGCCACCAATTTCCCCAGGGTTGGGTTGGATTGACCAGAGCACCGTCGACGTGCCAATCGGACAAACATTGAAGATGCCGCTCGTCGACGGCTGGCACAAGCATAAGCTCAATTCACAGCGATACCCAGTCAGCCGTTAGGATGAGACCAATCTCAACGTGACTATGGATGGCTTGCACAATCAAGGCTGCGTGGAATGGGTGGACGAAGTATCTCCATTTTCACACCTCGTCTTCGTGCTGTGGCGAACCGTACACGGCAAGGAGCAGGGCCTCACGGTCGTTGACTGGATAGCCTTGAACCGCATGATTGTACCTGACAATTACACCTCGCCTTCCCCAGGCAGCTGTACGCCTTAGAACCGTACCTGGCGTATCAGGCTCCTTGCACACCCTCCTGCCCTACTATGCTTAACTGGTGGAACCTTTGCAGAAACACAAAACTGTCCTACTCGCCACTGGCCGCAAATCCGGCCAGTTGGACAACCTCAGAAGGTCAAGCCTACCACCGCTCAACCTACTACGAGCCGAACTAGGCCGAGCGTCAGAGCTTCGCCGTGGCTAGACACGCAATTTGCAATAAGACCACTCTATATCATCATGACTAGGATAAGCGTCTGTTCCCGTGTGGGCAGCACGTCGCCTCCGCACCATCATTCAGTTCGCCGCCTTGTCGACGATTGTGCTGACCGATCACGACGCCATCAAGGACATTGTCAACCAGACTAATTTGCGCGCGGCCTCGACATACCGAGGCAATCGTAGATAGACGAACACATCCATATACCTGTCTCATTTCCGGTTCAAGGTGTCCTTTGGCCCCGACAGGCTCAACAACGTGCCAGGCGCCTTGAGTCGGCTGCGGGCGGTCCGGAACGAGGAGGACATCACCACTGGCGCACTCAAGGGATCTCGGGAGCCAGTCATTCTGGATGAGGTGTGATTCACCGCCTCTGAAGCCATTATGGATCCTAGCCTCTACAAGAGTTCATCCAGGGGTATCGCGAGTACTTGGTGTACTCCGAGATTATGGCTGCCATTCGTAGCTTCGACCACCTGGCAGACAATGAGGCGGTTTTCAACTTTTCGCGCCGCGGCCATCCCTTGAGGTTGACCACAATGGCGTCCTGTATCATATCGACAGAATTAATGATGCGCGTACAAAAGCCTTCCGTAGGACATAACATGTCCCACGTCAGAACGGGCGAGACTTCGTGATATGCAGCGGAGCTGCTTCTGGCATTATAATCATAAAAAGAACTATCTCGGGTCGACCTCTCATATTCCCTCTATCTGGATCCAGGCACCATCATACTTCAGCCGCCGACCTCCATAAGGGGGGACTGGCTTCCTCATACACTTCATCACCGATGTGATCGGGGAGTCCGCCTCGCCCCTCGAGGTCAGAAAGAAGCTCTATGCTAGCGTCGGTACCTGAAGCGCCGGCCATCCGGTTCCGCGATCGTGTACCTCCGACAGGAAGTGATCTACTGGGTCGTCCACGCCCAGTCCCACAGAAAGCTCGCCGTTGTCATACACGTTCGATTTCGTGAGCTTCTCAGCGCATAGCAGAGCTGACATAAGCGCGGAGAGGTCCTCGGCGAGGGGTCTTTCATAGATATGGCGACAGCTGTCAAGTCCTCGAAAGCTTGTCCGCATGGCGGATTATAGAACGTGGTGCTCATCGTTTTGGTCTCCAGGTTCTGATGATCCCGGGATATTGCAGTTGCGTGGCCGCAAGAAGGCGTGCAACCGCGCCTGGGAAGCTCCAGAGCTAGCTGGAGCTGTTTCTGGTCAAAGGAAGGTAACTCAAGAGGCCAAGCAGGCAATATTCAAGTGAGCATAGTCGAAGGCTTCCATATACCCTATCAGCTGGATCACGGCGGCGGAGACCACCAGAATGTGCATGAATGAGTGAGAGCTGCATATGTCGAACCCCCCAGGCCACCAACTTTCGGGAAACCTCATCTTTCGAGCCAGGTCCCTTAGGATTAATCTTTCTCCTGTATAGACGAAATGGGGAACTCACTGCATACAGCACTGTTCCAGATAGAAGGCAGCCTATCTTTGCCACCAGAGTATAAGTGAGCGCTTTTTTGTTCATCAGGTCTAGCCCAAATATATCGAGCCCCTTAATCAAGGGCGCTAGAACGGACATGCCCGTTGCTACGAACACCAGTGTTCGTATGGAGCGATACTTGTGGCTCTGGAGCTTGGGATGGATGTTCGTAATAATGGTCAATACGCCAAAACCCCCAATCTATTGACCAACGAAGACAGTATTAGATCCCAGTCCTGGCATAGAAAAGGCCTAGCTTGGGGAGATCAACTAACCATAGACCAATAAATATTGCGTAGTGTAGTCTCACACCAAAAGATTATGTGCACTCCCAACATAATATCACCGACTATAAAGATCCTTATACCGAGCATATCCAGTCGGTGGCAGAGATGGTCCACCGCGTAAGAGTGGTTCATCAAGGTATGATAAAGAGCCGAAAATGTAAAGCAAATTGTCGCCGTAAGCATAAAGGACGAGAAAGCAACAAGATCGGTATTAGTGACTCGGGGACTTTTACCTGCAAGGTGCTGCAAGATATAGCATTCGCCGAGGAGGAAGACGACCGCCGGAACAAGATGAGAATATATATTAACCGTCTCGTTGTGGATGTACCACCAACTGCGGAACGAGGCGGGAAAGGAGCCCGATATTGGCCGGTAGCCGTGAAGGATCCACTGATTGTTCTCATGCTGAAACCATTCTGGCATCTCGTCAAACGAGAGAAGAGCCGGGCGTCCTGCCTCACCGGACCCGGATGCGCCGTCTTCCATTCCCCACCCTTTGCGCGCCACTGACTCCTTGGAAGGTACTCGGAGACGGCGTGTGGGCGCCATTTACTCTCGCGCCTGGTGATGTATAATTTCTGAAGGCCGAGATTTGAGAGTGGGTAGGAGTTGAAGAATTGCGTTGTCTCTTTGCCGCGTAGTCTTTTTGTGAAGTTAGGCCGCGGCTCTTCTCTTCGATCGTTTATGCCTGGTCAGCGCCAACCTCGCTTCGCTGGTTGCATGGGCTCACTCATACCTCTTCGAAAACGTGGCCGGATGGACTTTTCATCAATAAATGTCTGAAACATCCTAGTCTCCGATGCGCGCCCCTCGGCTCAGGCCTTTTGTCAAACAGCTGCACAAGTTGCAGTCCTCTGGAGGAGCACGGGGAGGAGCACGGGGAGGAGAACTGCCCGAATATGCCTGCGACAGCGAGCATTATGAATACAGTGATGTCTGGCATTGCTAATGCCTGTGAAAAAATATGCTTCCCTTTCCAAGTGTCGGCGAGCAAGCAGACTCAACGACCAACACGGTGAGCGTGGTAGTTTGTTGTGCTACACCCGCCACTTGCGAAATAACAAACTCAATGGATGTCTTGTCTGCTAGCAAGGAAACAGTTTGGCAACCCACAGAATTGATAAAAGCGCTAAGCCGGCAGCCTACGTAGGAGCGAGAAGGACGTCGAAGTGTGCACCGGCGACATTGTGATATGTGGCGCATATAAGACCCTGGGAGTTGAGGAGATGCCGGGGTGAAATATGTCAGTAGGCCCGCCCGCCAAAGACTGTAATAACTAGTCGGTTTCTAGGGTAAGTCAGAAACTAGGGCCAGAGCGTTAGATGTGCACATTCTCCATCAAACCTTTTGATGTTGCCCTTCACATAGGCTGAGACAAACAGGACTGCCAGACTCAAATACACAGCTGTATACACCGCACTGAGTGCCATACTACCATCGTATAATGACAGCATCCAAGTGCAACCGCGTCAATCTTCTCCGGAAGGTGTGTGGCGTCCTTGCGTCTCGTTGATCTACGGCCCTGCGGCTGCCAACGTAATGTTTAATAGCTCTGGTAAATCGCAGCTCCAAGGGGACTGAAATCATGTGACGTTAATATATGCTAACGTTATATGGCATCTTTTCCACGATGTCCGCAAGTTATTCACCATGTTGATTTCTCGCAGTAATACGCCTTTCGTTGCACTACTACTCTATTCTACAACCCAAACCAAGCCGTTCGAGACGGGAAAGTCTTTACTCCCGTTCTTGGACTGATATCATTATCAATTTTAATCTAATGTGTGGGATTCCCACGCAGGTTGCGTCGATGGGGTGAAAGAGGATAGCTCCAGGTTTAAGAAGTCTGCGATTTCTCATCTTAATTTCGTCACGTGGTAAATTTACAGTTGTTTCGGTTTCTAGCTCTACTAGTTCGCGGATAATCTCTATAACTTGAGCAACAAGAGCGCTCTTATCCTCGGCGACGTCCAGGTCTACGCCTTGCTTCTTAAGCTTAAGGACATTTTGGATTGTATGATCCAGGAACGCACACTTCGAACCCTTACCCTTCTCAACCCTCGACTGCATCTTTTGCGCCGAAGTCAGAGACGCAAACATGTCGATGCATTTCTGTAGTCCTGAGACGAAGCGCCCGCGACCGGGCGGCCTATCCGCGCACTCCATGAGCGGCGTGTCCTCGACCGCTTCGACGCCGATACCGTAGTGGCTGTACCACGCGTCCGAGTCATCGTGGATATCGAAAAAGATCTTGGCCAACGCGGAAGACCCGAGGGCGGTCTTGAGCGTCGAGGGCGCCTCTGACCGCGTTCAGACCGGTCGAAGATGGTGAAGAGCGAGACAGTGTCGTGTCATGACAGGTGGACCTCTTCGAGATCTGCGGATAAGCAGGCCCTGGCGCGTCTCGAGACAGCTCTCACGCTTGCAGGAAGGAGATGAGTGACTCGATCAAGTCGACCATACAGGAGGAGCCGTCTGATGAAGACACTAGAGCGATCTGTCATGATTTGTCGTACTACTGATGAAAGGAGGGATGTTCCAAAGGTTGCTATTGGGCATAACAGTGGAAGACAAAAATGCCCTCCTACGCGGTGAAGCATTTGATAGTCCATCTCAATCAAATGTTCCCAGCGCTGAGCACAATATGTCCGAGATGCTGCCTATCCTCCAGTCACGGCAACAGGTTTTGGGACAGTCGTTGGGTAACACAAACTTTCGGATAACAGACTCCACTTGAGGCTGAAGGCTGAAACACCTTGAGCGCTCTTCTGCCTGCACCCATGATGCTCGTCCGACCTAGTACTTTCTTGGCGAAAAATCATGACCACCACTGAACAAGGAGCTATACCAGTATATTGTGATATCCGCATGCGTGCCTTTTTTGAGGCCGCATTCACCACTCAGACATGTGGCAGGTCAGGTAAATAGGTCGTAACGAAACACTAAGGGTCTGCAACACTTTCGCATAGCACGGCGGAAGCCTTTGGTCGTCGAGCCGCGTACGAACTCGCGGTCGCTGTCTTATGCTAATGAGTAGTGGTTGCGACTCTCCCTGACCAGTGTGACGACCAGCTGGGATCCCCGTTTGCACAGACCAGGCCGTACAATCTCAAGGTGCTCGCAGACTGGATGGAAAAAGTGGAGATGTCGGTGGATTCAATAGCGACAGGATATGTGGAGGCGCCTACACTTTGCCGCTCACGTCAGTTTGGACCAACCAAATTGTCGTTATGTCAACATCCCCTAGTGATGGTTTTTGGTTCGTTGGCACGGTTTCTGGTACACATCATCTTCGACCATACATAAGTAGTGCAAGACCCTATCCTGTAATCGACCCAGTTCGAGGAGAACCCACGACACACAGTTTCGGCAGGCACGATCACGTGTATATATGGAAATCTAAATAACTAGCTCCAAAAACAAAATCCCTCGATTCATTCGCCATCATAGCCTCCTTTCCACGTGGCGGCGATGAAATTACCTTGGCTATCTATTTTAGGCATTGTCACTCAGGAGGTACTGTCCTTCGGTTTGCAAGCACTCAGGGAGTTGACCGTAGGTCGACAATATCTGGAGAAATCCACACCTGAGAGTGGACCGAAATTCGTGGGGACAAGTCGTGGAATGAGACATATCTGCTACGTGCACAGACCGTTGGTACGACATATGTCCTACACGAGAATGAGAGGGACGTCAAGGGGTGCACTGTCGTCCCGTACAAATTGACTCAATTATGGCGAAGGAAAGAAGGTAAAATTAACCCCCTAGGATAAATGTTGGGAAGCAGTAGAATAGGGCAGGATTGCTCACAGGAGTTGATCAAGGCGTTTCAGACGAGATGCCCTTCACATCATAGGTCGCAAGGGACAAGGAAATTGTGAATTGGTTGCTCTTACGTAAGCCCCCAATGGCTCATCCAGTTTGACCTCAGGCTTCCTTTTGCGCCTGCAGCCCAACCAGGAAATTAGCTTCCGGCACCCGCTGCTCTTGCGCATGTGACACTTTTAGGTTGTGCAATTGTTTGGGTCCGGATGTGGCACAAGGACACTTGCGCACTCGCGCATTGGGGGCTTCTCATGGCTAATGTAATGGTGCACCATACGGTACAGCAGGGCAGAAAGGCTGAGTCGTCATACGGATGGTATGCACTCGGACGGGTGGGATGTGAACATATCCAACGGTGCAGGCAGGACACGATCAGTTCATGGTCTTCACAGAGGAGCTGCAGATGACAAAGAGAACCCATGCTCCGCCCCTGAGACCAGCCTCCCCGTAATTCAGGGGGTCCGCACATCCCTCGAGCCTAAACCCTCATGCAGACACGGGGCCCGCCACAGAAGGCAGACAACGTCTGTTAGGCTGAATGCTTTGACTACTTCAGCATCACCGCACCCTTGGCTTTCCCCGCCTCGGCGCCTTCGTCTCTGAAGCAGGAATTCATTCTCTCTGTTGCGCTGCCCAGTAATTCAGATTCACCTTTGCCGGCAGCTGGCCGACGAGATGGCACAGTGGTCTGGTGGCGGCGCTCTCGCGAGGAACGAGCGCGAGCGCAGTGGCGATGATGTGTTCAATGCACGTCGGGCTGCCGAGAACAAACGGCGAACGCGAGTGGACCCGCTCACGAGAGACCACTACAAAATCGGCTGGGTCAGCGCGCTTCCTATAGAGCTCGCTGCGAGTGTGGCTCTTCTCGACGACCGCCACGAGCCACTTCCGAAGCTAGATGGCGACAGCAACGCCTACGTTTACGGCACCATAGGCGGTCACAATGTCGTCATGGCGCACTTGCCGAACGATCTGCCTGGTTCTGGTAGTGCTGCTAATGTCGCCGCAAACATGTTTAGAAGCTTCAAGAACCTTCGGTTCTTGCTTCTCGTTGAGATCGGCGGCGGCATTCCACGACCAGACCACGATATTCGGCTCGGTGACGTGGTCGTCGGTCGCACGATGATTCAACATGAACTTGGCAGGGAGGATTCTGGCGATGGGCTAGAGGATACCGGCGATCCATACATGCCGCCTCGGGACATCAGGACGACGCTTTCGGCAATCAAGGTTCGCGCAGAAATGGGGCAAAATGCTCTACATGGCCTTCATGACCAATTGGAGAAGCGCGGCCTCGTCAACAACGAGTACTTGGATGGAAACCGACTAGAGGACCATCTTTTCAAGGAAGATTATGACCATCTTGACGGGACGCAGGAGTGCGACAAATGCGATATTGCGCAACGCGTGCAGAGAACATCAAGGCAAAGTGCCGACCCGCAGATACACTATGGCATAATCGCGTCGGGACCCCAGGTCATCAAGAACGCCAAGGTCCGAGACGACATAGGGAATCGCCACCAAGCTCTCTGTGTGGAGACGGAGGCTACCGGCCTGATACACAAATTTCCATTCTTGGCCATCTGTGGCATCTGCACCTACGCGGATTCTCACAACAACGACCGCTGGCAGAAATATGCTGCCATGGCGGCAGCCACGTACGCAATCGAATTCCTTCGAAGCTGCCAGTCCGTCGAGAACTAACCGGAGCCTGCGTCTACAATACATACACGGGCATTTCGTCGTGTACGCGTGTATGAGAAGGGTCCTCTACATAAGCGGCCGACTTGCTCTCCTCGGAGTTGCGAGCCGCCTGATAAAACACTTTTCGAATGCCTTGACTGTGGCAAACGCGTAGCCCTCGCATCCTGCAGGCGACTTCTAGCCTCCACTCAGTAAAAAGCTAGCACGGCATAACACCTGGCAGTAGGCCGCAGTAGAAGTCGTGCCCCAGCTTCTGCTCTACTAGCAATATCACGAGCTCCTTTAAGTCTTCATCTTTTGTCTTCTGTGACAACGGTGCCCATGGTGACGAGGGGCGAGGTCGGGAGCGACCTTCGGTACGCTCTGCCTTGCGGATAAGTCTAGTCAGCTGGAGGTTAGCTCTGTGCCTGGCGAAGTAGTTGGTGCGGACGACATCTGAGAAGAATAGATCCTGATAGTGATCAACTCGGGAAGTAGTTTCCTTGCACACCTCTCCGGCTTGTTGCTCCTTTTGCGGCCGAAGACTAATAAGCATGCCTGGAATGGCAATATGCCTAGTCCAAGCACCCTGTGGCTGACCTTCTCAAGGCGTGCTACCTGGACTTATACTGGCGTGCTCTCCTTGGTCCGTTCAGCAGTTTGGAAACGTAAGGCAGACAGATACGGGCATGCACCGCACGACTATTCCTGCCTCTGCCCTTATCGTGGGCGACTCTGGCGCTTGCGGCTCTCGCCCGGGTCTGCGACGGCATGCTTGTTGGGACCCCACATGTTAGAAGGCTTGATACCAGACACGCCGGCATCGTCGTAGCTTCTTCTTCGTGATAATATTGTTAAGGTGTACCGTGCGCCAGAAGGGAGTATGGTAGGTGACTATAGTGCGTGAATCTACAAGCTCAGGTCAGTACTAAAGTAGACACAGCAGAGCTGATACAGACGCTTTGTGCGCGCGTGCACGAAAACACTTATTTCTGGGTTATCGAGTTTTTGGACACTATCATTGGTAAAGGATAGCCCACTTGTCTCCATTGCGGAGTGCAGGGGCGAGCCTATCAAGGGTCGGGGCTCGAGAGTGTTGGCAAGCTGACGGCTCAGTTCGGCAAATATCTGTGCGACCAGGGTCGGGAGCCAGGCGCTTGTTGTGCTCATGCACGGCAACACAAAGGGCGGCAATAAGCTGACCCGTGCCGACGTCGCGGTAAAGAGTATGCAGAGCAGCAGCATCTCGCCAGCGAGAAAGGCCGCTCACAAATTGACGATCCGGCGAAATTGCGAACGAATCAGGCCGCCCAGCAACTCCCCACCCCACAGCGAAGCGACAGCTGAGATTGATACCGAGCAAGCGGCCGGATGTGAGTCCCTTGGCCAGGAGCGACCGTCAGCTGCTGATCTGCTCTCACCCAAGCATCAAGCCGTAGAACCCGCCGAGATGCACCGTCGTCGCCCAGCTCTCCGGCGAACTTCCACCAACGACACGTCTGGATCCCTGCCGAGTCCTCATCTGAATTGCCTTGTCTTGCTACCCTGTTCAGCACCCAGCCGTTGGCTGGCGCCTTCGTAGGTGAAACTGGCCAGCTGCTGACTCCAAATCAACAACTCCATCACTCCTTGAATTCGTCCTTTGCAATGAGCCTGCTATCCAGAGCCTTGCCCGTGTGTGTCTTGTCAATCGTCTCAGAATTGCGCCGCATCGTCATCATGACGATATTAAGCAAGCCCACCAGGTTCTCATCCATTACGTGCGCCGCCCCGTCGCTACCACTGCCCCCGCAAGCCTCGTCACCAGCTGGACTCACTGGGGGCGACAACGCCAGCGGCATCGGAGCAAGGAGATACTCCCGGAGCGCCTCGAACTCGGCAAAGATCTTGAAGTACAGCTGCCCAGCGAAGAGGTCCAGCTCAAGCATCACTTCCACGGGCATATCCCGCAGCAAGGACTCTGGTGCCAAAGACGGCCCAGTGTACAGATCGAGCCTGTCCAGGCTGCGCAGCCCTTTGTTCAGCAGCGGCGCGTACCGGTGCAGCGTGACCACGCGGGACTGCTTGACCGTGTCCATGAGGCCCTGGACCTTGTATGGGCTGATGATGACCATGTGCTTCAGCGTGCGCTTGGGGCAGATTATCCTGGTTCTTGGCTAGCGAGGCTGGAGGCGAGGGCAAAGATGGGGCGCGTCCGGGGAGAAGGGGAGGGCACTGCTGCTCGTCAAGATCCATTGCACGGGCCGCTGGTACGAGTCTGAGACATAGCCCACGGCCGGCAGCTTGATGGTAGCCTGGAAGTCGCGCGTGCAGTGCATCCGGCCCGTGACGGGGCGATGGCGGCGCAACTGGAGGAGGTCCTCGCCCGCCGAGGAGTCTGCGAGGGACTCGTAGACGGGGATGAAGGCCTTGCTTGCGGCCGAGATGCTCCCAGTCTGGATGAACGTTACGACGTCCGCGTTGATCGTGTGCTTCCGCGGCTCCGCCTTGTCCGGCCGCTCGAGCTGTCTCTGCTCCTCGACCTCAGGTGCCAGCTCACGCTCCCACTATTCCAGGAGGATAGCGGAGGAGGATGCGCTGGTAGCGTCGAGATCTTGGCAGCGCTGGGAGATGAGCCGCTGAGTCTTGCTCAGGGTGAGTTTGGCCGAAGCAGTAGAAGTATCTGTCTGCGAGACTGGACGGTATCGCGTCTCGAGCAATCGCGTCTCGAGCAGCTGCGCCTCATCCTCGAGGAATTCTTCGGCCAGATCCTCGGTGAAGGCTAGGTCTGACGGCTGGTTTCCATGCATGACAGCACCAGTCAATTTGTCGCCGCGTGCTTGTGCCCACAGCTGGCTGTGGCTCTCATGTCGCCTGCGCTGGTTCGCCCAGAGTGCCGTGTTGCGCCGGGCGCAGCGCCATGTCTCGGAGATGGACCAGGCGAGGACATCGGAAACGCATAATTTTTGCGTAAAGTTCCTGAGGCCCATGAGCCGGTTACTCTTGCGTTGGATTTCCTCTGGCACGCAGAAGTCGACAGACTGGCCTCTGCCTAGTTCACGCATACGCATGCAGGCTATCCCGTGTTGAAATGACATGTTAGCACGGTTGTCTCGTAATATGACATCAATAAGACTCTCGGCCGAATACTCACCTTGCACAAGTCTGTCCTTGACCAGACCTCTTCGCAATCGAAAGGCTGATAAGGGAGAAGAAAGAGGAGTGGGAACTTGGCTTCAATGTTTCCATCTCGCTACCTGTCACGATCCAACGTGAGGGTTTTGCTACTGTATAATGCAGGTGGAAACAGACCTCTCGATTGACAGGGCTGGCCTTCGTCCCCATCGCGGATAGCTTCAACCATGCCGACACTGGATGGGGGGCCAGCTTCACATCAGACGCCTTCGTCGTCTGAGCGGATCGCAAATATAATATCGGCCAAGAAATAATCTTTGTCCCGATGGCGAACAATTGGGATAGATTGGCCGTGATGATGTGATCCTGCCAGGGTTGAGCCCAGCTCAGAAGAGACTACTCCGGGATACAGAGCTCCTGGGTCCATTTTTGTGAGATACCACGACCCTTGAATACAGGAAGATGGAGACCGCCATTCGGCTGTTGTGTCCCTGTAGTCGACCACAATAGGAAGGGCATTTGGATGAAGGCTGCGGCCAGCACTGTCGAGAAGGCATTAATGCGTTGCTGAGATCTTTAGTTGTTGAGTGTTTAGGCACAACCTGAAAGGCTGTGCGAGAGGTTGCGGAGTTGCAGGTTGGGCAAAGCACCCAACGCGAACTTTCTGGGCAGAGATGGAGGCAAATCAAGGGAGCCGTTTCACAGGCCATCATCCGGCTATAAGGCAAGAACCAAGCGCTCCCTGACATAACGCAAAGTCCTCCAAAGATGGGTCGAACTACAACCGCTTACTCGAAATAACTAGTGCTACTGCCCAGAAATAACTACTGTCCATCAGTTTCTGCCTTTCTCACACCTTTTCCGGTCGCCGCACCTGGGGCCAGTGGCCCGTCCAGTTCTGCAGGGTCTGGCCGGCCGCCGTCTTTCCTAACTTCGGTTCTTGTCAGTTTCCTCTGAAACCCACTTCGCTGGCTTTTCTCCTTGGTATGGTCCACGGAAAGGCGCAACACGGAAGTGCTTCTGCACAACGAAGCCAATTGCTGCGCGGTGAGGCTTCTCTGGTCCATCCACCTCCCCCACCGCCTGTTCACTGTCCTCCCCGTTCTGATCCGCCAGGCGGCGAAAACCCTTGTTCGGAGGGGTCGACCTCTAATAGTGGTACTGCTGACGGCGAAAAGTTTCTGCGGCAACCGGAAGGACGCATATAGACGAGTCGAATCGGTACACGGCGGGGTCTGAGAGAAGACCAGCGGCAGCCATGGGCATGGTGTAGTGCCAGGAGTAACGTTCTGACGGATAAATCATCGAGCGGGTATGAGTGACCCTGGCCACCTGACTGGGATGCCCTTGTCGTCAGGTCGCAACACGTCCTTGCTGTTGCCATTGACGGTCGGTGCTGCCGCATCGAACGCTGGATACTCTGGTGTGTTCCGGGTCGAGCTATGGGAGACATTTGAGAGGAGGCGGACGAGGCTTCCCCGCCAAGGATCGCTTTCGGTGCCTGAGGCGGTGATATCGGCCTTGCCACAATCGAGAACGCCGGCTTCGGTCACACCATCTGGAACTAGTAGCCAGGGGCCATTCGACGGGTCGTTAAGCCACTGTGCAATAATTTGGGGAAGTTCTGCCTCTGTTGTCCTAGCATCTCCTAATTCAAGAAGATCGGCGATAGATTTGAGATCTCCCAAAAAAGCCCCGCGCGCCTCCGCGCCTATCCAGAGCACTAAAGACCGCATTGGTATTTCATCTGCTTGGCAACAACACTCGATCGCGAGTTGCGACTCTCCCACGCTGGCAGGGCTAACCAGCTCAGCACGGGAGCCAGCCTTGGATCTGGCGCGTTTCAGTATTGAAACTCCTGCCAGTCTTTCGCCTTGCGGGGGTACGGAGTCCGGATCGGGGTTGAGAGGAGGTATCGGGGTTGAGAGGAGGTATCGGGGTTGAGAGGAGGTATCGGGGTTGAGAGGAGGTATCGGTCGGTCGGCGGACAGCTCATCGGTGAGCATGTTAGAGTCGATGATCGTCTGATCTTCGAAGGGCGGTCTACGCCAGAATAGAAGGATCATAGTGATGCCTCACTACGAACCGATTCTCAGTTGTTATTGTCACTCAGACCACCACGCCATCTGGCGGCGCGTGTAAGCTGTGGCGGAGTGGAACTCCATAAGAGCCCTTTTGATCGGACGCAATTTTGGGTTTAAACCTCGTGAGGAGTCAAACAACCAGGTTGACTGTTTATTATAAATAATGAAATGCTCTACTACTACGAAACTAATCGTTGACGTTGAAGACTGAGCCATAACTCATACTTTTCTTATCACACCTTGAATCATACTGTAAAGTATCTGCACGATGGTGTCTAGTGCGCATAGGCATGGGTCAACTAATGACAGGTCAAGTGGTGATGCCATTCAGAAGAGTGGGGCGGGATGTCACCTGCAGCTGCCTTGCAGCGACCTACCCCGACGCGCTGTCAGCTTATCATACACGAGTGGTGCAGACAGCCACATGTGGCTGCCACCCTCCGCCTGGCGCATCAGAGTGCCGCAACATATAAAAAACTCTGCTGAGCACAACAGGTCTATCTGACTAAATATGGAAAATGGATGACTTCTCTGCTACGACGAAGAGTCGTTTCTCGGACGATTCTAGCGATTCCTCCGTTTCGCTCGTTGCAGTCAGCGCTGCCGTTGAATCCGACCCGAAGCAATCGGGTCGGGCGTTGCTTTCCCGGCCCGCCTCCGTGGCGAGTCCAGTACTCCTCAAGGAGCTCCCGGCCGTGATGGAGACGGAGCTCCAGCGTCCGCGAATTGTCCTCATGGCTGTAGCCTCTCTACTTGGCGAGGTAGTCGAACCGTGTCCTGCAGCGATTGGGGCGATGATTTGAAGACGTATTATATTTCATATGCGTCACCGATGTGACTGTCGATGTGGTCATGTTCCACTTGCACAGGAGCTAGCCGGGGCGGGGCGCCGTTCGAACGAGTTCTTCTGGTGGTGCAGTGGAACTGATTGGGCGAGGTCGCGAGAGGATGGATGTTGGCGGTCGACGGCAGCTTCAGGCAGTCAGCCCAGCGACCAACTCGTTCCACGACGTCAAATGGGGCCAGGGCGCTGCCGTGAGAGCTTGCGTGACGGCTCGCCAGGTAACCGCTACCCATCGTGAAGCTTCAGGAACACACGGTCGCCGACTGCAAACTCGAGACTCTTGTGCTCGCCGTCATGTCTATCCTTGGCGCGTGGGATTGCCAAGTTCATTGTCAAACCGGTATCCCTAGGGAGCTTCGTCACGGTGTGCCGAGTGGTCTGGCAAGTTCTCAGCGGCAGCGCCAGCCAGCACTTCAAGCAGTCCAGAGATCTTAAATCCGGGAGGCTGTTCATGAGTACTACACTTAAACCCCTCGGAATAGGCGCAGTTGAGGTGCCTTGGCAAGCGAGGGAGAAATCTAGACCAGTGATTTCGGCCGTCCGGTTGTTAAATTTCGACAACCCATCAGCTCGAGGATGATGAAAAGTGGTCTTCACCTGTGGGGTGCTGAAGGTGAACCAACGGCCACGCAAGAACGCTAGAGCGAGAGTCGCGGTCCGGACGCTGGGATGTGGAAGGTTGCACAGTGCTCAATTCTTTCGGCTTGCTCGTGCCTGATGCTTTGGCTTTTGGCGTAGCTGCGCGGTTTGGTCAGCGGTTGCGGTTGGGGAGGGCCTTGTGCCGGCGACCTCTCAAGCGTGCTGGGCGATGCTGCTATGTGTTACAGCGCATCACACTGGCTCTCCTTGGCGAGGCATGAGAATAGAAGCTGGAGTAGGGTGTCGACCTAGAATTCCAGGCCACGATCGTATAATACCCCTACGGCAAATGCGGCCCACCCCATCTGCGACTGATCTGAGGATGAGAGCCCTGGCAGAGGTTCGGAGATATGAAACAGCGACCGGCGTTGGACGAAAATGCTAAACGTATATCTGTGCCCACAACTTCACACTTAAATTCAGTCGAGTTATCGAGGGAACCCAGGGAAGCGAGGTCTGCGACAGATCGTCCATGGCGTCGGTGCGAATACCTCAACGCAGCTTCTTGTGAGCTACATCTCAGCCCCCAGAGCCTGTGACGTGCTTCTGATGACTAGTCTCGTTGGCCTCTTGATGTCTCGCCAAGATCGCGGCAATCCTCTTGCTACGACGTGGAGGCTCGATTTTATTCTGAGCGGTTTTCGCGACGCGTGCTTTTTGCCGTGAGAACTGCTTGCCTCGTGTTTTGGACAGGGTGGCGACAGCCTGACGACGAGCTTTCTCCCTGCCCGGGGAGTCTCGATGTGTTTGGCGGGATGATCTCAAAGGCATAGACATAGCCGACTTCTTATGTATCGTCCGTACGGGCTTCACCCAGCCCTCTTCTTCCTCTGTTTCAGACTCTTCAACGACTTCTTCACCAAGAGAGCTTTGCAACTCTCCCAGCGTCTGCCTATTGAGTGGGTATATCATGTCGGCGCGCCTGCTGGGTGGACGATTGGTGATGCCTAAGTGGTCGTGTTCTGGTGAGGCACGGGCCAGCGCGGCATGGCTCAGAGTAGAGCTGCTGCCCTTGACACAAGGCTGCGGCGTGGAGGTCGGATTCGGTTGCGCGGACTCGGATGATGATCGTGGCCTACGTCGGGTCCTGGGTGACTGTCGCCATTGTTGTCGCCGTGAGTTTTTCCCGTGTGCCATTAGTCCGCAGGACCGACTGAACAGCGTGACGGGGGTGGCGATGTTGATCATCTGGAGGTCTTGCGCAGTTCGTGGCACAAGACGCGTTTGTGGGGTCACTGCATTACGTAATGCAATTTCGAAGGCCTGAGCGCCACGAACAACCAAGGTCAGCCCCGTGATTGTTGCATGACAGCCACTGTGCCAGACTTCTGCCGCCGTCCTTGCATCTGGCATATGTCCAAGCACGCTTGTTCACCGCAACGCCCTTACTCATTCGCCAGCTTCCCTTTGGCTGCCTGAAGCTCGTATCCACTATCACCTCAAACTTACCACACGCTGTTCACACGATAAGCCCCGTTCGAACTAATTGGTCCGCATATGAGCTGCTACTGGTAGAATTGGTGTGAGTGGGCCCCTTAGTTCTCGCACTAGTCATCCATTCCACGCAACCTAAGCGCTGGCCCAGCTGACCAGCTATTTGAGGGAAGATGGCCGTTGCGGGTCCAGCAAGGGCTGAAGAAGGACTCGTGGGATGCGGGGTCCTGATTTGGAGCAGACACTGTTCTACAACCTATCTTCTTCCAAACAATCCCAAGATCGACACAATCTGCCATGTTTGAGAGCCGCATTTACAGTCAGCCCTATCACTGGGAGAATAGCGACGGCTGGGTCTCCAAATTAGCCTCCCGCGATCCGAACATAGTCATTTTGGTGCAAGTCGACGATGCTTCTACGCCGCAGTTCATTGAGCTAAATCGACACCTTGTCCGTCACACCACCGTTAAAGAATTCCTACGTGGATCGGAAGATCGTGAGCTGGAAGAAGCATGCCAGGTGTCGTTTGTCACCACGTCTGAACCGGAGCAGAGCTCGGACAATTCTGGCGCCGTCTTCATGCTTTCCCGACCAAAGAACGGCAAGACTAAGCGACAGCAATACCGCGTACCAGAGGATCATTTTGTCTTTGGAAGACAGGGGCGAGCCACTGACTTTTCCATCTCTGCTAGAAAGAACGTGAGCCACGCCCTCTTCTGGATTGGCTACGATGAAAATAGTCGCCCAATTGTCCAGTCTCGTGGATCCTCTCAATACGATATACACGTCAATGACATTCTCCTCCAACAGGATGCGGATACCGATACCGCATGCCTATGGCTGAATCCCCACCTCGCAAACGAGATAGAGGTTGTTGGTCTCGCGAAATTGAGAGTATATTGCCGGAACGTCCGGCTTCTTGACGATCCCATCGTCCCACAGATCGCTGATTCGAGCGAAATTGAAAGTTCGGTCTACAGCCTTGCTACCACTGCCGTTCTCGCATCGTCAATGACAGCACCTGGATTCACACGTGAGGGGCCAAGCCTTGTGTTCTATCCACACCGAATTGCAAATGAGGAGTACTTGGCTCTCGATATGTGCACAGGTTATGAGTATATCGCCCGGTATACTCCTGTGTCGAATATCAAGCTACTGAGGCAAAATGTGTGTGATTTTCAAGATCTTCGTGTAAGTATCCTACCAACCTGTTCCAAGTCTCTGAGCGTTGCCCATAATGGTAGGGCCCTACAGGATCTGACTTCGCGAGCACGATTAGGTTGACGGGAGTTTCTTAATACCCACCGCCGTCCATCATGTTTCTGGGGTCAACTGCCTATTGGTCCCTTTTCGACCCGGTATCTTGAGCCTGCAAGCCATATCCAATGACGACCACTATTCTCTAGCGGAGCGCCGGGTTCTGGGGGTCAGACTCTTCCGCGAGCTACTTCGCGTTATTGGCCGGCTTCATCGTCAAGGATTCAGCCATGGTCGTCTGAGCATGAGGACCGTGCTTGCTGTGCCGTCGCCTTGCGATATTGTACCCATATATATCGACTGTTCCTCCCTCACTCTCGGAGACCCAACGTTGTTCTCCAACGATTGCCTGTCAATCTTCAGCCTGGTGAGAGACTTCATCGGGGAACCATTAGATGAGCTGTGGACTCAGGACTCGTCTTTAACGGAGATCTGGAAAAACTATCTCTCGAAATCTCCAGGGACTTCTTGGAAGCGCACAGTTATCGAGATTGGACGACAGCTCAATCTATCTGACCAAAAAAGCTCCGATGGTTGGGATTGTTTAACGGTTTACAAAGACGTTCTTGTTTCTCCAAGCGGCAATCGGGTTTCCACCACCGACATTGAGTTCTTCCTGCTTATGCAGGTCAGTGTTCAACAAATCAAGGATGGCAAAGGACAGCACATTATCAATGCCGTCCGGAAATACGACGAGGACGGGACAATCGCAATCACCGAGCTCGAAACAGTCATTGATCACCTGAGGAGGAAGCACAGTGTTTCTTTTTACTTTGGGGAGCTTTCTCGGTTCCTTGAGAACCCGGGCCGCACCTTGCTGAGAACCGCACAGAACATTCCTTACCACCCGTCCTGTGGTCTGCTTCAGCTTGAGCCCATACTCCATTTGGCGCCAGACAATGAACGACAAGGACTGGAGAGCTTCTGCAGTGACTTGTATGAGCTTCGCGGACATCAACCGGGTGTCTTCGTGACGCTGCTACAGTTCCAGCAGATCGCTAAACACCTTGATCTACAGTATGAGCCAAGAGACCTCGTAGAGCCATCTAATAGCATGGCCAGGTACTCATCGCCTGACTGGTATTTGGTCAGTCATCACCAGTTCTGTGGCGTCCAAGCTGTTGGAGCACTTGATAATGTCGTGGCCGGAAGCACTCAGCCTCACACAGGAGAGATCCTGCCACGAATCACAATCAATCGCGCTGCGCTTTTCAGTTCATACCATTCGCAGAGCAGGGCTGGCATGGGCACATGCTCGGTGGCGTCGTCAGAGGACCCGTTCACGTTCAAGTTTAGCACTGCTCGAAGACCTCTGGCAAAGACCCAGGCAGGCGAGATTGCACGCAGGATTGATGGGCAAACGCTTAGCACCACCCCTCAACAAGATCTATTGCCGGATCAGGAGCGGCTGCAGCGATGGTTCGCAGATTCTGGATCACGACGCCGAAATTCCGGCATAACCAGGACTAAAAGACCTTGGGAGGGTTGATCCTCACAAGCATTTGGGCCAGGTGTGTCAGAGTCCATACACAAGGGTTCGGCCTATCATGACCCTATTGCTTCTTGCTCGCTCTTCGGCAAACCACGACACTCCAGAATTGAAGGGCCTTCGGCATAGTTCGCCGAATCCGAGACGGTGGGTCGATGAGAGTTGGCGTTTCCAGCATATCGAATCACAGCCGTGGCTTAACGGCTCAAGCCCCTCCGTCAGGCTCTACAAGGATATATACAGAATTTTGGCCAATGGAGACGCGGTTGCATAGTTGAATTTATTCATGACATGGAGAGGATGAGAACGCGGCTTAACATTTCTAGTGAAGATATTTCTGAGTAACGATTTGTGGCTATAAGAATGCGTTGCCACAAGGAATAGACCTTGTAACAAAGAGTTATGATCAACAAGATCGCCACTAGCCACGGAGCCGCCTGGCCAGTCATATATCCTTCTGCCGGGCGGTGAGCTTAAAACCTTATGGGAATCGTAGAAGCACAAGCCGATTGAATAGTCGCACTCCTTGCATGAATAGCGCACAAATTTGTGTCCACGAACAAGGCTATGAGAAAGCTCTCGGTCGATTCTTGAAACGTTCCTATTGCTGCGGACTGAAATCGCATGCCGTTCCTAAAGCTTGCAGTAATTTCACGTACCTATAGGATTACGTCAGGAGGATTTATATAACACGAGAGATCATACAGTACAGTACTATATCGGCAAGGAACTTCTACCCAGTCGACAAGGGGCCCAAGCCGACTCTTAGCAGTCGGCTCTCTTGATAACAAATCACGGATGCATCAGGAGCGACGCCGATGACAGCGGACGGCATTTTGCTCCGAAAGGTCGTCACTTCTTTCTTCAGTAGCGATCGAGAAATTCCTTCTGGTCAGTGGTGGGACATTCCTGGACATAGCTCATCTTGCTGATTCTTCCCTGATATGCAGAGATTCTGTTGGAGATGTGGGGCGTGTGGACCCCTTGGTTTTCACCTAAAACAGCCCTGTAATAAGACAGCAGGTGGGTTTGCCGTGTCCCATGGTCGCCCACGCTTATATCCTGGCAGCGCACATTTTGAACTTTGACGGTATCCTGCAAGCCTCTGTCATCCGTGACAACTAATGTAACCTTTCAGCACACTGCATGCTCCTGGTCAAGCTGACGCCCTTGCTTACTGTATCATACACATTATGCTGGAAGGCCATGGTGTGAATCACGTCCATGAGTTTCAACCTTGACAGCGAGAGGGCGATACTGGCAACTATGAAGGGACTGCTCGTTTGGATGACTAGGCAAACGGGAATCATCAGCTTGTCGTTGACAGAAGAATGAGACCGAAAGCTGCTGAGGCCTCCGAACAGCGTGATGACCCTGTCGAGCCAACAGCTTACCTCCTCTCTTAACTAGGATTCCAGGTTCCAGGTACACAAGCATAGCCCAATACTCATTTTCGCTTCCCTTCGGTCTGTGCGCCACACAGTGATCTATCCAGCACATTCCTCGATGATGCCTCGGAGTACTCTCAAGGCAAGGTCGCATCCATAAAGCCTGAATGCTAACGTAAAACATCACTTCGTCTCGAGGTCGGTACAGCCCTGCGACATGCCAAAAACATGGCCAACTACAGGTACTTTCCATGACGAACCAGGCAATATACATCTCTTTGGGGCAGCGTCTTGTAAACTCCATGAGTCTCGAACAACGGAGACCCGGTAGACTGCCCCCCCCCCCCCCCCCCCCCCCCTTCCTGCCCCGGGACTCTCATCTCCTCTCATTATGCCTCCATTTACCTGAGGTTTAGAGAACGCAGAGTGAGGAAAGAAGACGAGCAGTACATTCACGTGTCTCCTCTGTCTTGCGGACAAGCAAAAAAAACCCCTCGGTCGCCCTCCTCCTGGGGAGGACGGTTTGTATTATACTAATCCAGTCAATCATTTGCTCATCTCACTGATAAGAAATTCATACCATCAAACCAATAGTCAGTGATCTCTGGACCGCCCAAACCAACTTTTAGCCCCCGTAATATTCTTGCCCCAGTTAGCGCTTTCAACCCGGACTCAACACTCACTGATGCACTATCGAGTGAGGAAGGATAGCGAGTACTGCCCGTCAAATAGGTAAGTTCGCGGCTCAGAGATCGCTGGCCTCCAGGATTTCTGCCGGGAGGAATGTAGGGGCGGAACATTTCCGAGTGTGCTTATCAGCAATGTAATCATAGTGTGCAATGGGATATTCCCACCTGAGAAGTTGGGAATGCCCTCGTCGCCGGTGCTCTGCAATGTTGACTGGGGCGAACCCTGCCCAAGGTCAAGATGTTGAGCGGCCAGAGCTGGCAACAACGATACTTGTTCATGGATATTGGACGCAAATTAAGGTTGGAAAGCCATACACCGTTTCTTGCATTAGCCAGAATTTGACTATGATACAGCACCACGTTCCTAAACACGACCTTGGTCAAATGACAAGCTTTATTCGATGACCAAATTCACAGTCAAAGACTGTGCTTCAATCATAAATACCGCAGCGTGCCCATTGAAAGTCGAGTATGGCCGACATCGTTTCTCTCTCCTCTGCCACTCCCTGGGTAAACAGGGCTGCGCTACCTAGTACCAGTCCCAGACCTACGAAAATAGGAAAGATAGGGAGAATGCCATTCATCATGTTCATTACAATGTTTCTCGCGAGCAGTGCGGTCAATGTCCTTGCTCTTGTGCCGTCGCCAACGCCGCAAGGTAATGCTTGCCCAGCATCCTATTGCTCTGTGGAGTCGCAGTTCCATCCCATCATCCTCCAGGGGATAACATGTGACGACTGGACAATGGGCGGCAACGTTCCTGATTGGGCTGCACAACAATCCGGGTGGTTTCCTGTGATCAACACGACTAGCATAGAGATGCTTGCGCGCTACGCATCCAACCGGCCGCAGTCGCCGCAGTGGGATAAAGGACATGACCTGATCGACGCGCTGGATAGAGTGGAGCGCCTTAGTAAGGACTCGTTGTTATCCTGGAATGGTATCCTCTATGCAGCGCTGACGGAATTCTGGCGTACTTACCGGATACCGCTGGCTGTGCGTGTTGGTGAACTTGTGGAAAATCGGAGAGACTCGCTACTGACCTCGTCTGAGGCTCTAGAGATGAGCGAATACTTGTATTTCCAGGGAATGGGCTCATCCTATGTTCCATGGATGAATGAGACAGACCACAAGGTGCGTGGTCTAGCGACACGCGTTAATTGTAGTGGCCTGCGCGAAGGAGGTCCATACAAGAGATTGCTGCATTCCGCTGCCGTGTTTCATATGCTAGACACGCATTGTACGCACGATCAGTGGCTTCTCGGCAGCATATTGCATAACATCAATACAATTAAGTGGATCGCTTATGCGATGAAATGGTCTTCCATAGAGCTGAAAGCGGGCCTGATGAAAGAACGCTTATACATTATCGGGCGGGAAAGAGACGCGGAAAATAGTTCGTCACGGTTACCAATACAAACAACGGCGGTGTCAAGAAGCTCCCCAGTGGCTTGGATGTAAGGAGCTACAGTACTAGGAACAGATAACATGGTCAAGTGATACCTATTTAATGCCAAGATTAAGCATGGAGGAAAGGTGAAACTGTGGCTTAGAAGTTATTACGTAGTTTAAGTAAACAAATTATTAAAGCGTAGACAGGAAGTAGCCTTTCCACATAAACCCTAGTATTGTTTGCATCCAAGCCAAGTCACCACGACTGTCCATTGCCGGAAAGTCTTTCGTGCACAGTTCTAAACTTCTTCCATGGCGTCCTCTCCATCATATGCATCATCCGCATGGCGCCGCTTATACCATCGAACCTAGGGCCAAACATACGGCAATGGCTTTCGGGATATGCCGCCACTGTACTCAACGACACACTTGCGTCACAATCGCCCTATTGATTTGCGGACTCACTCTTCCACTAGCCAACCAGTGTCTCGTTCGTTAGCAAGACCCGAACATCCAGCTCTCTCAGCGAAGGGAACTTCGAACGAGCCAACGATCATTCTGAAAGACTCTGGATCTTGAATGCCAGTGCATGCTGAGTCAGAAGAGTGTCTCCCAGTGGACAATGAGCTCACCACGAATGAAACTTCGCTGAGTGACTCGGATCCATAAGCAAGACTGCGGCGTTGGTGGAAGCCCTCGGGTGTATGCCATTAGCTATCAGCCAAGCAGGGGCATACATCCGATTGCGAGCGCCGCGAACATCGATCGGCGAGTACTTGAGGGAATTCTGGAGGAGTGAGCATCTGGAGCTTAGTCTTCTTAATAGGGACGAGGGCGACCTTGGGCGAGACCAGAACGCGTTGAATTCGATCGCTGTAACATGGAAGTTCTCGTTCGAAGCTATTCGATCGGAGCAGCCATCAGCAGCCAACCTACTTTCCCTTACGAGGTTTTCGACCGGCAGGGCATCCCCCAGTGTCGATTTGCAACCGCCTTGAACTTTTAAGGGGGCAGTCTTCCCCTACTGCAATAGAAAAAGGTGTTAGAGAGGCAGTCAATAAAACAAGGAACGTATTATCAACAGCAGCTTAGCCGTACGCTTGCTTCCGAAATGTGGAAGGAAGTTCTGGGAGACGATGAGAGACAGAGGTGCGACTCGTAGACCCCGCCGCCCTGTCGAAACCATCGATGAGACAGACCCCGTCGGACAAAGGCCCTTACTAAAAACCAGAAATTGCGAGCCGTGCGACGGCTAAAATGGCCGCGTTCAAGGTGCTGGAGAAGTGGGCTAAGCCTACATCCAGGCAATTTTTCTTTGGTGCTTGCTCACCCTCACGATTGCCATGAGACACAGTACAGCAAGCCGGTATCATCGCCACTAGACTGCATTTGATCCAAGACGCCCTCAACTCTTACCCTGACATCTGAGCATGGCCTGGAGCGTTTAACTGGTTTCCAAGACATGAGTCAAGGCTTAAACAAAGGTTAGATAGATAGGCTGTCGCGAACCATATGCCCCTAGCCGTTATAGTTTCCCGACGTGGATAATTTTCTTCAGGACTACAATACGCGGTTCCTGAGAGATTCCAACTCTATGCTTTTGAAAGCCAGATGGCGGAGTCCTTCGTCATCTTCGACAAGGAAAAAAGGGTGCACAAGCGCCGTCGAGACATGTTACCTGTAACATCAAGCAGCCCTCTCCCTTGATGACAATAGCGCTCCCGGAACTGCAGGAATAAATCTACGCCACGGCTTTGGAGGTTTGAAAAGCCATGCCTTCGGACAAATTCGCCAGCATAGTAGGTGCTCGAAGCAATGATGACCTTTTGCAATCCCAAGGGCTCTCAAAGTTTCGACGCACAGTTCGCTCGATATTGTACCGAGTCCTATGAAGGACGAATCGATGACACACTGCATTCCCCTGCAATCACGCAAATTTCCGCTCAGCCGTCTACCAACCCAATAAGCGGACACTCCAGAGTGCATGCATTGTAGGACGCCTGAGCGCGGTCGATGCCTGGCCAGTGGTCTGAGCATAGAGAGATCATGCTTCAAAGCAGAAGCATTTGGTGCCTCTCACATGCGTTGCTCACAAGAGCGCGTTTCAGTTACCGATCCACCTATCGTATTGCATCTCTTGCTCCATGTCCCTCCCTCAGGCGGTCCAGCACACGGCCATCACGAGAGAGCACTTGTATCCACGCCACGGGGTGTTCTTGTTCCTATTGTTCTTGATTGCCCTCCTTTCTTCGCTGGCACTCTCGGCATGCTATTTCTTCCCTTGCCAATGATTTCGGGAAAAGCCATTCCTGACTGCCACCCTGTTTCGCTGGTACGGCTCCATGATGACGTGGTAGTCGGCAAGCATCAAGACGACTGTCGGTGGGGACAGAGATCGTGTGTGGCGAAGTCTCCGATCGCCAGCCGCTTTTCTGTGCTGCCCCGGGTCCAGTAGCACTTCCCCGCCTCAAGCTTCGTGACCTAACTCTTGCACGCCGTTATTTCCATCCCGTACTGCTCCAAGATCCACTAGCATTTGGAGAAGCCATATATGCGGGAAGAGTCTGTCAATATGAGAGGCTTCTCGCGGCTCTCGCATGGGGCGCGACTAACGAGTCTTCGTGCCTGGATGAAGAAGCCTTTGCTGATGCATCGGCGGCCCAAAAGGACCACCGGTGGACGCCTCGACGAAGAAGCGCTGGAACCAGCCACTGAGGCGTAGGAATATGAAGCCCCGGCCGACGGTGCTACCGCCGGCCAGCTTGTAGGTGAAATGATTCGCGATTGGTACCGCGTTCGAGTACCGCAGGTAATCTCTGTGTTGTCAGAACCCCCCCGGGGTATTGTGGATTCTTGACCATAGGTAGGCAGTGTTTGGGGGAAGTCCGCAGCTGAGAAAGTACTCGGCACACCAGGTAGTGCTCCGCCGTCATAGTTGCCGTCGTCGTTACAATGGTCGTCCTCGTCGTTCCCGTCGTCCCCGCGTGTGCCGGGTTTGCTCCCCTTAGTCGCGCTGCTAGGCGAGCTATACGGTCTACGCCGAGCTTTGCTGCGGCTAGAGCGCCCACGAACGAGTCGAGATCCCTCCCCCAGTCTCCCCTGAGCATTCAGGCCAGTGGTACTCCGATCGGCGGATCGTACGAACGACGATCTGCCACCCGTACCCGTCTGGTGTTAGCCGCCTGCTCAGTAACCGAAGCCGTGAGGAAGACCGGGCGGCGGCAGGCCGACGATGTGCTAGCTTACCTCTTTGACGACGTCCCTGACGTCCTGATTGCGGGCCAGTCACTGCCAACCTGCTCGCCTAGCCCCATCTCGGCCGCGTATGGCCAGGACCAGCAGCTTCCGGATCTAGGACCTGGGGCCGCTCAGTATGCCGTGCCTATCCTTGGCCCTCATACTGTCTGGGTGTGTCCCACCCTCCTTCTTTTGTAATGGCCAGGATGGTAGCGAGCTCTCGTAAAGCCCCGCGTCTTGTGATATAAGAGGAGGCCGATCTGGAGGCGGACCTACTAGTGTCGGTGCACCTCCTCCGTGTCCTTGGCCCTCCTCGCTGCCTGCTCCGAGACGTCGGCTGCCGGGTTCCTGATCCTTCACGGCGTCCAGAGCCGCCCAACACGCTCGCGGATCCTCGCCTCGGCGATTTGTATCTTCTTCTGGGCTGCCGTGAGGGCTGCTTACCGGGTCTTCGAGCAGACGGTATGCTTGTTTGTCGAGAGGTCCACCTCGGCCGTGCGTCGTGACGATGGCGCCAGCCTGTCCCGGGAATGGTCTCCAGCTCGCTTTGCGGAAGTCCTTCCCAAATCACCTTGGCATTCCACATCTAAGAGGACAGAAGAGAGCTACATGTCACGATCAGGCGTCGGGGGGGCCACGCGTCTAGTTGAACTCTTCTACTTTGCGTATCTTCTTTTAGCCCTGAAAATCGAGGACGCTTTTCTCAGTGGGTAGTAGCCGCCCGACGGGGTCCCCCGTAACGCGAGGAAAGCTATTATCTTCGAAATCCTCTTCTATCATTGTCCATTCTTCTCCCAGCGGCACGAAGTTGTAAATGGCTTGGCTAATGTCCAAGGCGAGAAGATTCGGAAAGCCAGGGTCAGGGTAAGGCACAACCAGGGGTAGGAGCTACGAGGAAGATGCGTCTACAGCGAAGGTCAGTCTCCTCTCTGCGTTCATAATTGTGCAATACCGTTGCACGTGACCCCAGCTGACGACAGTACGTGCGACGCCTCGGACTCGGAAAAGAGAAATGCAAGCTCCAGTCCGAACAGCTAGTGAACATCAACAGGGAAATTGTAGGAATCTTGACCGTGGTCATGGCAGGTATGGCGGCAACGTCGCGATACGTCAAGGTCTGGCGAGTATTGAGTCAGCAGCCTGCTAAGTATACCTCTATTTGCCCTATTTGCCCTTGCTCCTGGGGAATGGAAGTGCGTTGCTTTGCGCACTCCTCATGCACTTTCTTGGTTAGAAAAGGGGCTGAAATGAAACGGGCCTGCTACGTGCATAGAGCTTTCACAAGATATTACATGTCCAACATGTGGGTAACAGGCACAGTGAGGCAGGCACGGGGGACTAGGAATCAGTCGCATTATCGAGACGCCGATGCAATAATACATTCATTGACATTGTCTACATGCCGACCTTACGAATCTAAGGGCGATAGTGCTTTACATTTTCACATATCCGTGGCTATGATGTCTGGAAGTATAGATAGATAGTGCTCTGCCTGTTGTTTCTTGACCTCAAAAACGTCTTTTCCCGTTACCTAAGTTGGCGCGCATAGACTCATCTTGCTTTATTTTAGCAATTTCCTCACCATACACAATGCCCAAATCAAATTGATGGTTCAAAGTATCTTTCCATGGATCAGCAGCCATTCTAATGATATCTTTCAAGACCAAGGCAAGTGGGCAGTTCTCGCATTGTTCTGCCTCGAAATCCTGAGACAGCGTACTTAGCTGAGGGCTCTTAAGTTCCATGAGAACCATGGATGTAAAGATACCGTGTAGTCTGGCAGCATCTTTCTCTGCATCTCCTTGGGAGCGCTCTTTTGAAACATCTTCAGAATACATGGCTCGACCGACTTCAGACCATACCAGGTGTCGTACGATTCTTGGTAGTTCAGAAGTCAGCTCCCGCTCAGTTGCACGGAATTCTGACAGAACTTCGAATTCATCGTCGGAGCTATCTGTGTCACTGCACGCGTTGGTAGGGGCTTTGTCTACCTTGCTCCTCGCAGAATAGCATTCTTGCGACTGTTCTTTTTCCCCTGGCTCTATTTTTAATACCTGCGGGAGCGTATATTCCATAGCAAGTTCTTCCTGACCTAGTCGTTTCGGTTGCCAAACTAAGGATTGACATTTCGTACCATGATTTGAACTGTAATCGATAGCGCTTCTGATTTTAGCCCGCCTTACTATTTTAGATAATGCCTCGGGGCGGCGATGAATGGGTATTTTCTTTTCACTCCTGGTACGCGTCATGGCTAGGTATTGTCGACTGGGCAGTCTTCTTATACCTCAAAATAATTCCTAGTAACTCTCGGAATTGGACGAATTTGTCATTCAATGAGAGCTACAAAACCTTTCACAGTTTAATTTACGCACAGTGAGGTAATGCTCCTCATCACATATCTTGCGATGACCGTCAACTACCGACTTGGCCTGCCTGGCTCGGCGACTTCTTCTGACTATTGAGGTCTTCCCCATTGCCTTTATGCTGATCGTCGATAGGTGATTCAAACTCGGTGCGCGAACGCGTCCTTTAATCAGCTGAAATGGGTATGGTGCGGGTTCTCGCCGGCATAGATTTCGTCGTTCTCCACTTCCTAGGTGGGAGGGATCCTGAAGCCTTGAAAGGCCTGTAACACAGCATGCCGCCTGGGTAGTGGTATCACATAAGACTCTGCCCATTGCATCAGCAAAATGGACGTTTGCCATTGTCAATCTTTCGTAAGTGAAACTCGTGGATTCCTCGTAAGGCGATAAAGTGGGACGTTCGTGATTCCAAATCTGTCAGAGTGCGTAGCATTACAGAGATAGGACGCAGCTTGGGGTTGTAGAGCTCCGTATTGCGCTTTGCGGAGCAGGGGCAAGGCCTACTGCATGAGCCTGTCGCTTGCGACCCTAAGCCGAGACTCCACCTAACATGTCCCTCTGTCGGTGATATCCTGAGGCTCGAGAAATGCTGCGCCGCGCGTGATAGACAACGACTTTAATAAGGCCTCGCATTTGCGGCAATCACGGTTTACGGCTGTGTAGACCTACCGTGGACGGTATCCGGGAATGTATTACGCGCTTGACAGTCCCTGCTACGGAAGGATTTGTCGGAAAGTGATGTATGGTTACCACTCAGCGATAGAAACTGTTTGTAGAAAGGACGTATGCACCGCATCTCGGGCTGAAAAGAACAAGCTCCGGCGTCAGCGTAGTGATTATAAAGGCCTTCCATCACATAGCTGCCGCTCTTATATTCTCTTTGGACCAGACAACCAGGGACCCGACATCTGAAGAGTGGCTATTATGGTAGCATCTCGCCGCGCCAGTGACTATTGAAGTATTGGCCTTTTCAATGTAAAACTATTCTCCATCACTCAAAGATGGCTATTTACGGCACATCACTCTCGTTCACCTCTTCTCTTAAGTTGCCTCCTTCGTTTCCTCTGTGGCTGCTGACGCCCTGATTCCAAGTAATAATGGCGTCACTTAGATAAGATGTGTCTATTGATCCTCCTTGCGCAGCCGCCCTCGGTGGGCAGAAGTCCCTGCCTTGTAGCGAATGTGCTTTATTGTGCGAGAATTGATCACGCGGTCTCTAAGTGGGCGTGCTAGTCCGAGGAGCCGCACCATTTCGGCCGTATTGTGAAGGAGGCGTTTACAAGTAAGAATGACATGACGAGACCATGGCCCTCTGCGATGCTCTACCTTGACAATATGATTTACTGTACTCGAAGGTGCTGGACTAGACGTATGCCCATGTTTACCAGCGGATTTGCTCACTCGTGGGAGTATCGAGCTATCACGTCAGGTGTTCCTTAGAATACATCTTCTACATATACAGCCCTGTGAAGGCTGCTCGGGCCTGGATGCACGCGTCGATGATGACGGTGGTCTGGACGATACACATGATAGACCATCACTATTCAAGCCAGTTCCTGTTCCGGCAGGTGTGGCGCATTGAGTGAGACGACGAAGGATTCACGTGCAAGGTGTCAAGAGGAGTGATAGACAACGGCTCGGATGAAGGCCTCCTCGAACATACTTGTCCCTGCGGGTTGAACATGCTTTCCCAGATCGCTGTGAAGGACTCTGGCTATGAATTCTGCTAGCAGAAGACTCGACTATTGCGGTTCAAAAGAACCTCTCACACATTAAGGACGATGCCGGCGAAAGACGCATGATAGACTCAAGCAAAGATGACCATATATAGACGGGGGCGTAAAAATACTTGGACTGAAGCACGACTCTATACGTCCGACCACTAAAAGTCAGCAGAAGGAGAATCGTCGTTCGTAAAATGTACCAATCTTATTCCGCGAACACCATTATTCCACGCACTACGATTCGTATTACGTGAAGCCACGTAGATCATGAAAAATAAGGCATTGCACAATTATCGTTTGTTTTTTGGCGAATTCTTTATTATTACGCGAGATCAGTAATTATGATCTCATCGCTCACTTTACAGCCTAGTACATGAATACTTAAGCCTATTGGTGTCTCTAATCATTGACTGCGACAAAGGTATGAAGCAAAAGCACTACAAGAAGTTTATGGCTTCTGGGCCGTCCCGGAAACTACTAGCATGCTCCATTACGGGTCTTCTGTCGTTCATCGCTTGCGTTCTTTCTCGGAACTTGCTTTATGGATCCCTGGCACATTTTCTTATTTCGCTCGTTACTCTAATACCTCTAACAAGCACTTTCCAGCACCTACTTAGAGAGCTTGTCTGGAAACTTCAAAAAGCTAATCATGAGTTCCTGAGTCTGTTACTGAATGGAGTTCTGGGGTTAGTGTTTCCCATCGTTTGTATCGCAAATATACTAAAGAGACTTCTAGAAACTCAATTGATCTCTCCTTTGCGACTATTGCAGTACTGAAGGGGAAGCCTTTAGTAGCACAAAACGC